CAAGGTTTTTTTTGGCATACACTTATCTTACCATATGGCTTTAGGCTTAATTTTCCACAAGCTGAATAGGCAACTGTTTGTATCCATCAACAAGAATAAGTTGGACAAAACCTGCTGGCAGATCTGATATTTAAATTAGGACATGGTGTTTTTATGACTTAACAGGCATCTTCTCAAAATTCTTGATGAGTATTTCTATAATTACAAAAAAAAAATAATGATAATGCACAGTACTAATTTCCCAACTCGGAGGGGGGGGGGTAAATTTATTTCCTATACAAGATATAGCCATATACTTAGGTTACTCCCATAAGATGCATAAAAAAAAAAAAAAAACAAACAAAACAAACCCAGCATGATGAAAAAGACACCAAACTTGACAAAAAAATTTTATCGCCTAAATGTTTGTTATTATTAAGAGGAAAGTATTTTTTTTTTTTTTTTTTTTTTTTTTTTAGAGTCAGCAAAATTGACTATTTTCCCCGCATTTTATAAAAAACCTGGAAATCTCACTTTGAAATTCTATTCTGCTCAAATTTGAAAATAAAACAAAGCAGGTCAAACTTTCGCGTCACTTGACAGGTGATGAATGACACTGACAGATTCCGTGAGGCTAATTTATTCTATGGAAGGAGAAAAGTGAAATAATTTACATTTCAGTGAACAAATTATTTACCTCATTATTTTTAAGGAAAACTTCAGTGCTCTAAGTTTTTTTTTTTGTGTACTTCACTTTCGCCTGTTTACAATGCATTATGGAAAATATATTATAAAGAAATTAAAATAAGACTTAAGAGTGAGTTTAAATTTTGTAAGAAAGGTATCTAATTAATTTATAGGTACCTTTATGAAATTTTATCAGAAGTGTACATCAAATTAACTTCACACGTGTTTTGCAAAAGTAAAGATTTTTAATAGCGGAAAATGAACAATGCTTAACTGAAATAATGCAATTTAATTGTATTCTGGTTGGTCTTCCGTACTTTATAATTCTGTAAAATTATAAACAGAAAAAATTACATTTACTTAATTACTGCAGGGTTTTCTGATGTATAAAACGATCAAAAGAATTTAACAACGGTGATTTAAAAATAACTCAAAAGGACATTTAGGACAAGTGGAAATGCTGCTTTTAACTAATTTTATAAATTTAACAGCTTAAATAAAATAATGAAAAAAATAAATAAATTAAATTCATTTTGATTTTCATCGAAATTTTTTTGCTTTTCAGAAAATATTGTCCATATTCAATAAAAGCATTTGAAATTAAATATCTTTGTTTTGAGTTTTGTATGTTACAATTCAGAGCTGATTTTCAGGTAGGTGGGGTCTAATTAACAAAAAACAAACATGATTTGCATTCCACAAAGCCTTGTGCTTTTAACTATTGTAACCATTAAACTAGACTCAAATTTCTAGCATTTTCATAAAATTAGTTGGGGGAGGGGGGAATAAATATGAGAGAGAAAAAAAAAAAAAAAAAAGATTTCTGCCATGACTAATTCCTGAAAGTTTCAACATCCGACAATTTATATTTTTGCAAGCTTTTCCAAATTAATGCGTGTCAAAAAAAAAAAGTGCTAAAAATTGTCCGTTATTTACTAGTTCTAAGTCAATTTAGAATGTTCTATAAAAAAAAAAAAAAAAAAAAAAAAAAAAACTAGTCTTTCCTCTTAACATAAGCATTTAGATAAAATTTGGTTTTAGGCAAGTTTGGCGTCTTTTTCATCAAGCTATGATCTTTTTAGTGATTTTGTGGAGATCACTATATATACTGTTACCAGTTAAAAAAAAAAAAAAAAAAAAAAAAAAAAAAAAAGTGGGGGGGAGGCATGAAATGAAAGAACTTTGCCAGATTATTTTATACCGCTTGTGAAGGCCTTACAGTTTTAGGCTAATCAGATTCAACCACTTCCTGTTTAGTCCTTAGTAATTACCAGACTGGGTGCAATAAACTACAGGCCTGAAAGGCATACAGATCCAACTTTGTCATCCTCTTAAATAAAATTTGTTTTGGTGTTCCAGAATCCTTCAAGTGTTGTTATAAGTTTACAGAAAGGAAGAAAGTTAACTTATTCCTGCGAGTAAAACAGCTTTAGACTCAACCTTTCAGTTATGTTCACTTTTAGAGAAAGACCCATGTCATTTTTTTCTTTCCTATTGCTTTTCTATTGTTATTCTGACTGAAACATTTTTTTTTTTTTTTTTTTTTTTTAACTATTTTCATTCAATAATCCTGTTGATGAATTGTAGTCTTCAGGGCTTCCATTGCTGCAAGAGATTTTGGCTGCCTGAGGTGTGTGTGTGTGTGTGTGTAATGATTATAACAGCAAAATTGGTTTTAGTGTCACATGAACTATATATCTGATCTCTAATATTCTGCAGTCTTAAATTTTGTTTTTGCCTTTCCAGTTTCTGGATTTAAAACACTGAGGCATTGGTGTTTTTAATTTTTTTTTTCAAGATTTTGTTCAGAAATGATTGGCTTTGCATAAATTGTAACAGAACTTGGATTAAGTTTTCTGCAGGTGGTGATGGGCACAGATTCTCAGTTTACTCCATTTACTTTGGAACTTTTTAAAACCATTGTCATTACCAAGGCAATTCAGAAGCATTTATCTGCATCACTGAACAAGTTGTTTTTAAGGGCTCTTGTGCAGCACTGTGCCTTGGGGATGGGTAAAGTGTAAACCAGGAAACTTTGCACTCACTTTTCTCAGCCATTCTTCATTTGCACCCAGGAGATACAGTTTGTCATACAATGTTTGAGACATTACTTTTTGGTTGATCAAATCCTCACTTGTCCATTTATTCTCAACTGATAAATTTTTGTTTATATAACACAAAGAAATGTTGCAATCCAATCAAAGCCAGAAGTGGTTTTAAAGTATTCAGCCATATTCTGTGCCATGTTTGCTTTAAAACATCTGCTCTGGGGGAGTTGCAGTTTATGAGAAAAAGTTTATTTTGTGCACCTGCTTGAACAAGACCAGGACACAAAGCATCAGTCAAGATTTATGGCTTCCTGGTAGCAGTCATTGACAAGAGGGTCACTAGAGGCTCAGCTCAACACGGTACCATTCTCAGCTACTGCTGAACAGCTGCCTGCTAAAGACAATAATGTCCAGATATGTTAGTCTTGAGGATTAGAGACTAACTTTAGCTCCATAACTGGAATGCAAACATTCTAAGCAAGCACCTTAGTTTAAGGAAAAGGAAAAGAAAAAAATTTTTTAGTCATAACACCTGATGTAACATGCAGAGCTTCCAATTCAGGTAGGCCTTAGAATTTCTATGTTGATCCTTTTTCATGTTATATAGTACTGTTCAGTTATTGCTGGTCCAGTTAACATTAGGTATACTTATACTACCCAGCCTAGGGATTGAACTTGTGTCATATTCACAAACTAATGCTTTAGTGCCCAGAGATTAAATCTGTTCAGTTTGAAATTCTTAGGTCAGAGGACACACAGACCATTTCTGTTATTACGAGAGAGAGAAAACAATTAGTCACATGCCGTGCATGCAAACACACACACACACCGGACGGAGTTAGAGATGTATGACAAAGTGGACATGCTCCAGCCTTTAGGACTTCATTGGACTAAGTTTGTTTACATTAATGCAACTACACATGAATTAGAAACACTGGCAATTTTAAGTTAAAAACAACTGATAATAGAAGATCTGCAAAAAAAATGGTGAAGCAAGAACAGATACAAATTTACCATGCAAGATCTAGTGATTAAAGCACTTTCTAAAGATTTGCCTTAGTTTTCTCTTACAGTAGCTTAAAGCAAGTGGTCAGTCATTATGGCAAACAATGAAGGTATTTTGTAAAAAAGTGTCCCTTGTGTTTATATCTTTTAAAGTTGAGGTTTCTCCTATGTATCCTTTTTGGCAATCCTTACAGGTAAGAGTAAATTCCTCCTTAAGCTTATTTTGTAGTGGTTAAGTCTTGTTTTAGGTGTAATTGTGACAAATTTTGTGTTCAGCTTGGATAAATTCTTTTCAATTGTAAAACAATTTAGATTCATTGGGTTTGTCATGAGAGGCCATTTTTCTATTTTGGAATATTATATGAGCCTTTTGTTTAGCATTGAAGGTGTGAAATTGTGTATGGGGTAGCTTGAAAGTATTTAATATTTTTCATGTAAATATTGAGGGCTGCAAATTCGGAGTGCTCTTAAATAGAATCCAATGATTATTCCAGATTTTATTGTGATGAGAGTAGAAATTTATTATTATTTGATTTTTGGTGGAAACTAAGTTTTAAAAAGGTTCTGTCAATGAAATGTAGCATGATACCTAAGAAAGTTAAAGCATTGTTTTCTTCCATTTTTGTATGTAGATTCTATTGTATATTTAATTGTTTAGTTTATCTACAATCTCAGGTAATTCAATACAGGGATATATTATTAGAAGAGGTTTAGAAATTGCTTTAATCACTGAAGCATCTATAGTAAATTTGCATCCAGGTTCTTACATTACACCATTCTTGGCAGATCTATTATCACAATGTGAGATTTATTGAAAGATGGAAACAAAGAATTTAAAATGACATGGCTAGATTGTTAAGTTTAAAATTCAGCATCTCATTTGTGTGCAGTCACAGCAATGAAATTTTAAAGGACAAAAAAAAAAAAAAGTCAGAAACTTTCTAGTGTCATACATCTTAAAATTGTTTATAGAAATAAGATATTTGCATGTGCTCATTATATATTAAAATAAACGCATGCTAAAAATCAATAAGGGTTCTCAATATGTCATCTAATGAAAAGTAAAAAATCTTTTTTTTTTTTATTGATGTACACAGTCAACTTTGACAGAAAAGACACTTGTCCTCTACAGAGAAGCAAATGTAATTTTTTTTTTTTCCTTTTAAATACATGTTCAGTTGATTTTCAGAAAAATAATCAAATAGGCTAGGGGAGGTTATGTCTATTATGTCTATTGTCGTATTGAGATAATTAAAACCAGAGTTTAGAGAGGGGAGAGAGTCACAGGGAGGGAGCTAGAGAGAGAGAGAAGGAACAACATAGGGGGGAGAGAGAGAGAGAGATACGCACAGGGAGGGGAGAGAGGAGAGAGAGAGAGAGACGCACAAGGGGAGAGAGAGAGGAGAGAGTATGACACGCAAAGAGGGGGAGAGAGAGAGAGAGAGAAAGGCAAAGGGGGGGGAGAGAGAGAGAGAGACACGCACAAGGAGAGGGGAGAGAGAGAGAGAGAACGCCGTGGGGGAGGGAGAGAGGGGAGAGAGAGATGGAGAGACACGCACAGAGGGGGAGAGAGAGAGAGAGAGAGAGCAGGGGGAGAGAGAGAGAGAGAGAGAGAGAGGGGAGAGGGGAAGGGGGAGAGAGAGAGAGAGCACGCACAAGGGGGAGGGAGGGAGAGAGAGAGACAGTGCACAGGGGGAGGGAGAGAGAGAGAGACGCACGCAGGAGGAAGAGAGGGGGGGGGGAGAGAGAGACACGCACGCACAGGGGGAGGGAGAGAGAGAGAGACGCACGCACGCACAGGGGGAGGGAGAGAGAGACACAAAGAAGACAAGAAAAGGAAAATTCAATAAAATATTTAATGCAGCATCTGTTTAAATCAAAATATTTGAAGGAAAAAAAATTTTTTTAACAAAAGTTTTATATCCAGTGATAAATCCAATGCTATGAGCAGAAAGAGTGAAGTGTAGTGTGGCTACCACTACAGCCAAGTGGCCAATCCCATCCACCTGAGAAAAGGTCAAAACAATAACCCTAGCTACAATTACCAAAAGCCAGGATCTACATTTGCAGAACAGAGGAAGAAGAGATGAGAAAAAGAAAAAAAAAAAAAATACAAACTAAACTTTAAGCCATTCAGGAAAGGCCTTTTGATGGAAACTAGTGCCATAAATAGTTTCCCCAGACTGTAGCATGGCAATTGAGAGAATGCTTGGCACAAACAACTGAAGTTTGTTTTTCCTTTAAGCAACAAGGATAAAGTTTGGTCAGGGAGAGAGAGAGAAAGTTACCAAAATGACATCATCCCAAACTAGCCAGCCAGATTGGGCATGTAGAGGTGGAACAGACATTATCCATGAGAAATGACATTGTCAGCAGATATAAAATTGGTTTTATTTTAATTTCTCAATAGAGATGACAAAAGAAAACAAAAAAAGAACTTAATCTATTATCACTCATAGCATCTGAGAAATTAGATATATGGGGGGGGGAGAATAAGATAACACCTGGGAAAAGGGTAAAACAGACCCAGTTATATTATGTAAGTCACCCCCTTTTGTGCCTACAAACAAGAGAAAAGGTAAAGGGATAAACCTGTTTATGTGTAAAAAATAAATTCATTTAAAAAAAAAAAAAAAAAAAAAAAAAGACCCACCACTCCACCCTTCAGTTATCAAAAGAACAAATCTAAAAATTTAGATATTCCCATAAATAAACCCAATTCAGAAGAAACACTTCCTCCATTTCAATAAAAAGAATCATGGCCGGATGTGAAATGTTTGATTTAGAACAGGAAAAAAAAAAAAAGTTTCAGCATTGTGTGTGCATTATATATATATATATATATATATATAAAAAAAGAGACTTGGGCTGTTGGCAAGTTTTTTCTTTAAGAAATTTATTTTTTTTTTGCCTACTATTTGTACAGAGACATAAGGGAGGGGCATGCAAGGGGGGGGGTAATTGTATCAAAGGGGGGGAGGAGAATTTGCCAAATAAGGTGGGGAGAATCACTCAACAATTGCTGCTGATAAAACTGTTGGACATGCAAACACTAAATTCTGTTGAAGTAGGATTTCTGCAAATACATGTCTAATATTTTGGGAAGAGAGAGAGAGGAGAGAATTGGGGTTCCTAAACCCCTCCAAGTTATCCTGATGGAACTATTAACACCAAGGGAAAAAAAAAAAAAGCTTCCATCACAATTTTTTTTTTGTACAAATTAAAACTGCTTCTATCACTTGGTCCAAAATAGATATTTAGCAGTTAACCTTGACTAGGACACTTTCCTGTTCCCAACAGGGAAGGAAGGGAATAAACAAGGGCTTCTGCATCCCAAAACAAGATAAAATGGGAAGTATGGCCCAAGTCTTCCCCACCCTAGATGTATTTTACAAATAGGAAAACAATGTAACCAAAAGTTCTAAACGAGGCAAAAAAGTGATAGTGATATCAGCAGCTCATATATATATATATATATATATATATATATGAGATTTTTTTTTTTTTTAGGCCCCTTTATTGGTCAATATGAAAGGGAACAACTATATGGCTTATTGATTAAACTGAAGATTAGTTGTAATTATAAAATTAAAGGAGATAGAGACCGGGTTGGGGGGGGGGGAGAGAGAGAGAGAGAGGAGGGATCCTTTAAAACCTTGTGGAGCCATTATGAATAAATTAAAACCTGCAACCTTAAGCCTCCCTAGAAAATGTATGTTAGTCAACCTCAGGTGGTTTTTCAAAACCTATGTTTGTGGTTGTTTTTTTTGTTTTTTTCTTTCAAGGTAACATTGCATCGGGCTGACTGGGAGTATCACAGATGGAAGTCTATCCGTTCGTTTGTTTGATGGATAGTTTGTCCACACGTGGAGCTGGTCCCTGCTGGCTGAAGCATCAGATATTTTCTCATACAGGCACCTGGAAGCGGGAAGAGAAGTTATAAATCAAATATAGGCAATCTAAAATGCAGTGGACAGTAAAAATGCATTCTCAAAATTTAAAAATGCAACAGACTATTGGTAGTGAAAGTTGGACAATTCTGAGACCAAAGACAAAAAGAGGATTCTGCAATTTCTGAAAATACCATGGACTGAATAAGTGGGTTTATAAGTGCAGGAATGAAAACCAGTGAATCCAAAACTTCAGGGTTGCAGCCTGGAATGTGATCTGCTCATAGTCTGCCCAATTCCAAGAAGGTATATGTTGGCTACGGCCTCTAGTGTTGAAACAGTTTGACACACTGGTATTTGCATTTATTATATAGAAGATGAGCTATTGAAAGTTAGACAGTTGGGTCCCTAAAGAAAACGCAAGCAATATTTTTCAAGCAGAGAAGTAAAATAAAAACCAACTCACTGTATCTTGGCAGTCATTTTCATCCTGACTGTCCTTTTGGAATTTGTTGGGTGCCATAGCAGAGAAGTAACGAACGTCTTTGTCTTTGTCTACTTGTAATTTAAGCATGGTTTCAACAAGTTTCTCATAATATGGATTTTGGGGAGATACAAAATAATCTAAGAAAAAAAAAAAAAAAAAAAAAAATTTGCATTTAATTATTTGCAAATTAGAAAAATAACATGTCTAAGATTATCAAGACTCAAGAAAAAAAATCCCATCAACTTTTGGATGTTTGCATAAAATTACACAAGTTCAAGTCAAGTTCCTAGGAGGAAACTGCCACCTCCAAATTAAGCAGGATGTAATATAGTATTAAATGCTATTTATTGAATAAAATGATTTCAATCCCATAAAGTGAAAACACATGTTAAACAAAATAGAAGTTAAAGTGAAAACAGAGGTTGTCATTAGAAATCTGTAAATTTGTAAACTGGTTTCATTAGCAATGCAGTAATTATTTCTGTCAGGGCAAAAATCTTTGGCATTTCTCTGCAATAATGGGCAAATGTCTGAGATGTAGCTGTCTTGTGGAATTGATGTATGAAGACATCAGCATCTGTATGAACAGAGTTTTGGAAATGTGACCAATCATTGACTTACCTACAGATAGAACACATTGGGATAACGTCTTGCTGGAAGTGATCCTGACATTTGGAATCACATCATTGGCTAAGTTGAGCAAACTTGGTAAAAAATCTCTAGCAAATCTCTCGGCTGGAATGCTCTTGTCTTCCAATATTGACCAACACAATTGGGCAAATCTAAAAAGGGGATGCAAAAAAAAAAAAAAAAAAAAAAAAGCCATTAGCAAGAATTCTGTATACAATATTGGTTAACACAAACTGAAGATGAGAATTTAAGTCATTGCAATTGACAAATTTCTACTACAATTAAATGGTATACAAGTTCCAAGAGGAATCAGTAAAATGAATAACTTACAAGTCAGGAAAAAAAAAAAAAAAAAAAAAAAAAACCAACACCCAATCCCAACACATCTGGAACATTTTTCTTTCAATTTTGAATACCGGGTTAGGGGATTGCAAGTGAAAGGAACAAAGTGAATATGGAGATTGTCTGATTTGGGGAGTGTTCTTGGCAAAAAACTGTTGCACTGAATGAGCAAGTGCATAGTCATGGTAGAGTTGTCACTCACTGGATGCATGCAATTCTTTCCTTTTCTGACAAACAGCCTCCTGCAACATGTCACAGTCATACTCCTTGTTTACTGTGACCAGGTGGAACATACTAATGATAAATAATGCCCATGTAGTTAAAGAAAACTCGGTTTCGTCTTATTTTGACTCATTCATATTTTAGTCTTAAGACCGAGCCTTGTTTCCAGGGAAGAGGGTCATAACCATAGAAACATTATGATAGTTATCCTCTGATAAAAATCAAGGAGATCCTACATAGCTGAAACCAGATTTTCTTTTTGGTCAACTGAAAGCAATTTTTTCAAAAACTTGGAAGGCATGTCTTACACTCAAATTCTCAAGGGGAATGGTCTTAAGTCTAACTAATGTTCACATTCTCCAAAGATTCATGCACAGCGATTCAACAGTCTTTCCAAAACAGATGCATGCACTTTTCAATTCTGCTGGCACAGGTCCGAGAATGGGTCATAACCATAGTAACAATGTAAACATGTGCAGCTATTACACTTCTCTCCATACACTGTGTGCAACTTTGCAGAGATATCAAGCTTTTGACAAAAGCTAATGCAGACTACCAGGGTCATTGACAGAACCTCTGGTGTGGTGCAATCTGTGCCAAATGGCTTCACTGTATACTTTAGTTCTGTTACTATAGCAACAGAACCCATAACTTGATATGGAAAGCAAGAAGCCAAGAGAATTCCACAAGTGAGAAGTGCAAGAAAAAAAAAAAAAAAAAAACTTAACAGATGTTTTTTCTTTAAATCTATGCTATTTAAAAAGAAGCCTATCAGGCTTTCTAAAGAAATCCTTTGCTTAAGGCAGGGTTTCAGTTAGTTTGCCTGATTGCATTGAAAGCAGGAATTTATTGGTGAGCAAAACTGCTTAGGCATTCAAAATGCAAGAATGAAAGCACAAACTCCCGACGAGAAATGACAACGTCAACGAAGTCTAAAGATTGATATCTATTTCATGAAATGTAATCCAACCTCAGAAGCAATAAGGAAATTATATATCAGATTTAAAGAGTAGACTCAAAGATCAGTCCAATCTTGCCTAAACAAAAATTCAGATGAGTATATAAAATATTTCTCTAACCAGCTGAAAGAATAGCAAATTCAAAAGCAAACATCCTTATATGACTTTACACCCCAACCATCCTCAAAGTCCAGACTAATTCATTAGAACAATCATGACAATTATACATCCGTTTATTTTCAAGAAGAAAATAAAATTATGTCAAAAGTTAGCAGAGGAATGTTCATGTTGGACATTTAAAATATTTTAGATATCGGTCTTGAAAGTATAAAGGCTCTCCCAATTAAAGAATTTTTCAGATTAACTTGTAATTATGAGAACTAAAAACTCATCAGCAAAACAATTAAGAAGCCTAATGGAAACTCTAAAGTCATGGAAAAGATCATCTGGTGCTGAAGTATTACATACCTAAATAAAATATAATGTTATATGCAAATGAGACAAAAAAAAAAAAAAAAAAAAAAAAAAACAAAAAAAAAAAACAAAACAAAAAAAAAACACCTTTCCATCTACCATAATTGCAGTTTGCATATCCTTGCCAACTAGATCAACATTCAGATTAGTTGATACAAATGAAGCCATCTATAATAAAAAGGGATAAACTTGTGGCACTCACAAAGACAATGTAAAAAGCATCTTAAACCTTCTCATATCAACAGTCAACAAAAATTGAAATCACTTGCATTAATTATGCATAAAGCAAAATTGAGAGAAGTGAACTTATCAGAATTATTAAACTGGATAAGAGTATTACGTTAATTTGTTTTCGCCACAAGGAATCACAAGCTGACATTACAGCAGCGGTAAAGGAGTAACTTGTCAAATGAATTTAAGTATTTGTAAATTTGAAGAAAATTTAGCAAGTTCAATGCAAAGTAACCACTTGTGACTTAAGGAGAATTAAGATTGCATATTAACACTTTCAGGAATATTTTGTATTGTAGGCAATAAGTCCCAGAGATGGGGTGTGTGCATGTATATATAACACACACAACACCAATACTTACACTTGGCGAGTCGCCCATTTGTGCGATGCAGCAAAGCAATTTATCACTTCCATGACCATGTTCTGGTAGTATTGTTCATGGGAATCATGCAACTGTTTTAACAGAGTGCTCACCTAGAAACAAAGAGATACAAGTGTCAGCAAGTACACAGTGAATGCTTAAATATTAAAAGATTTAATTTGGTACAGAATTTGTTTAGAATCAGCAGGGAATTTTTAGTCTTTAATGAATTTTAGAAAAATCGAGGTCTGAAGTTTTCAGGTATCACCTCAACAACAAGACCATTTAGCAGTTTTATAGATTTCAAAGTAACTTTTCACCCAATACAAAGCCTAAGAACCACTCAAGGTAGAGGCCTACCAAATGAGGATGTGGTAAGGGCATTATTCACAAACGCAAATATAAAGCAAAGGATGCATATTATAAGGTTACACAGAATAAGCAAAACTGGACCCACAAGTTGACGTTCAGTTTTTCATGGCCAAGGAAGCCACTCACAGAAGAGCCGAGTACAGTACAGGCCCTGCAAAAATTTGGAGTAGTGAAAGTAAATTATAAAAACTATCAAGTAGAGGGGTGCTGACAAGTGCCCCACCCAAAGACTTTCTTGTAAAGTAGAGAAATTTTCAAACACTATAGAAAGGCTCCAACAACCCATCTAGAGTGGAGGTGGGGAAGGAAAAAAATAAAAAATTTTAAAACTCGGGAGTTACTCCTTTGGAAGGTAATTATCCCAGCCCTTCAGGGATCACTGAAAGACAAGGAATGGTGTATTAAGGACTTCATTCTGTGCAAGAATGAAATCCTTATTTCTTCTACATAGCTTCATTCAATGAATTATAACAATTTGTCCAATCTCAAATATTTCAGAATTTAACAATGAAAGTTAAAATAGACTTACCAATGAACAAGCAGCAAGTCGAACCTCAGCAACTTTATCATTTAACAAGGCTAAAGCAATTGGCAATAAAAATGCACTATTTTCTTGGGCATGGAATAAGTTACACAGAGGTTCACACTGTCTGCAAAAAATAAATTTAAAACTTATAATTTAGAAAATTCAAAGACAAAAAAAATTCTTTCAGCTCATCAAGATTTTACACAATGTTTATAATTAGAGGAGCCTGAAAACTATCAGCTCATCAATCAATGTCATGTAGAATTGCGATCATCTTTTAAAACAATTTTTAAAAGATTTTGATGAGTATTTAGGCCACTTACTCAGCTAATTCCAAACGGAAACGCCAGTTTCTATGATTATCAGTTGTCAGAAAATTTTGGACTTTTGGCAAGTATTCATTCCTCACAGAAGGCTTTAACAGCTGCAAGAAAGAAAAGAATCACATTCAGCATTATGGACATTGCATTAAGAGTTTTTGGCATACATATATTCTTCAGAACCCCCCTCCTCTATCTCCAGTGGTAAAAGGGACTGTTTTTCCCACCACAACTTGGCAGAGTTTGCTATAAAAAAAAAAAAAAGCAACTAGAATTGTAATAAAACCTAAAGTGAATTTTTTGTTCTTGAGAAAAAAATATTAAACAATTAGGTTAAGAATTTTATATTTACATAAAATTATATTTTATATCATTTCTAAAGAAATTAAATTTTTTATTTATAAATTTATACATTTACTAAATTAAAATGTGAATTTTAAAATCCTTATTTACCATTTTATAGAGTTCAAGTCAATTGTCATTTGCTAACCAGTTAAAAAAAAAAAAAAAAAAAAAAAAAAAAAAATTACAAACTTATTTTTCAATTCCTAAAAAGGAAAGAGTATGCATTTAGATTTCATTACAATTCTTCACACAGAGGGAAAGGAAACCATCAGTTACATGTAGTTTTAGATGTGGCTTACAAATTTCAGATCAAGTATTGCCATTTTATTAATTCCTGACCAACACATACCTGCCAGCCCTATGAAAACCAGGTAGATATTGGTTTGATTAATACTCAAAATTGTAGGGGGGGGGGATAATGTAATGGAATATGGCTCAGGATGAGAAATCTGAGGAAAGTCCTAATTCCAGCAGAGATCATTATATTCACTTTCACAAATACCCTTGGGGAGGGTATGAATCTATTTCTTACTCCTCAGCTACGAGTTAAAGGAGGCATACAGGGTTTCTATAGCCTTTCTAGCTGGCAACTTACGACAACACACACACACACACACCTCCCAACGAGCCAGGGGCCACATCAGCAATTGAAATTCTTCAGTTGTGGGTTCTGCATTCTGATGAGGAGAGAGGTGGGGGGAATTAAAATAGTGTTTACTGTAAAGGGTGTAGCAGAAATATAGTTAGACATTAGCTAAAGACAAGACACCATTGCCACTAATGTTAGAAAAGTTCTAGTTTCGACATTGTCCAAGAGTTCATTTTAAAGAGTTGTTGGTATAACACTTTGATATACAACTTTGCTACCTAATTTAGTTGGTTATTTTACTTACAATTATTGCTATGTGAATCAAACTAATCAACAATTTAAACTAATTAAATGCAAATAACTGACTGGTGTCACTTACGACTAGCCTCTGGCTGACAATATAAATAAAATCATTTCTAAACTAGATCCTCACAAAGCATGTAGACTTTATGGTATCCTTGCAATAAAGGTGCTCCTGAACTGCGTTCTCTCTAAACTACAATAATGCCTTGCTGATTCTTGCTTTTTAGAAATCTTTAGTTCCAGCCTTTAAGAACTCTGGTAAACCACCCAATCCCATCAGCCTTCTATGTCTTTTTGTCAAAGTACTAGAGGCTCTAATTAACTGAACTGGTTAAGCATCTCACATTAACAGTTCTTTCTGATAATATGCTTTCCATCTCACACAAGTACAAAATCTTCATTTAATTAACCTTATCTAGTATTGGTTGATTTTATAGTCATTTTAAAAACATTTTTGCCATATTAAAACCTTAATAAAAAATATAGATGAAGTTACCTCCCTTACATATTCTAACAGGGAATTTTTAACAGAGCACACACACACACACATCACAAGTATCAATTTTTTTTGTCTTAGCAATTCACCATCTGAAGATCTTGGAGAGTGAAAATAAAAGAAATAAAACTATGGAGTCTTAAATCAGCTTAATTGTTAACATGTTGAGGCAAAAATTGCCGCCATAGAATTCTCTCCCTTTGTATACTGTAAGCACATTCTATCACAAACACTTGTCAACTTATTTTTGGTATTTTAAGCAGGAAATACCCTACTATGTCTTTGGAACAAGGACAAACATTCATTTTCCAACACCATCTTGAATTCTTCTACACAGCAGAGTAACATTGATTAAACCCAGGTTTTTATTTTTTCTCATGTATTTTGTAAAGAAAAATTGACACATCAACATCCAACAAAGCCTTCAGTTTTTGTTTGATTTGAACTGGTGATTTTGAAGGTTTTACTCAAGAGAATATAGACAGTGAAGTGGTCCGGAGATAACCACTCTTGTGATGTGGAGGAAAAGTGATAGTGACCACCAGATGCAGCCGAGTGTATCATCCATGGCTAATTTATAGAAACTACTGGCCCCATGGATGCACCAGATAGATTTGTTTTAGAAATGACAAAAACATTTGTCAATGAGATATATGCTAGTCAAGTGAAAGAACGAGCAAACAAATGTTGGGCTCTACCTGCATGTAAATGTGTGGAAGAAAGTTATTTTTGACAAAATGAAAGCCTACTTAGATTGCACCAAAAAACTCCACAAATAAGAGTTAACATTAAATGTTATTTCTAATTTTTTTCCTATGTCAAAACAATGCATTACATAAAATTGATCATCTGTTCCTTTATTTGTGTGTGTGTGTGTGTGTGTGTGTGTGTGTGTGTGTATATGGCAAGGGGAACAATGATAGAAAGAATTCAGTTTGGTTAAAAAAAAAAAAAAAAAAATTTATCAGTGAATTTGAGGAGAAATTAAAAAGTTCAGTCTACCTTTGAGTCAATTTAACTTGAAGTGTTTTCAGGATTTCTGTCTAGCTGCCTTTGAACTGGCAAACAAAATGTTAATATTAGATAATTCCTAAAAGTAGTCCCTGATGGCAAATGGGTGGTCATTTGTTCCAGAACAAGAAAGAGATAGGGGTGGTGGGACACCAGCCATTACCCATATAAGCAGAGAGGAAAAGTCAGGTAGAAATGGGTCCAGCAGGTGATCAGCAAGTAGCTGCCCAGTGTCCAGGGAGGAAGGGACCAGCAGAAGTTAGGAAGATAGCCAAGTGAGAATTCCCAAGTTGCTCTTTCCCAACCAGTGTCCTGAAAAGTATTTTTGTTGAATACGATCACAGTTAAGTATGTGTACATAGGGAGTCAGGCATATATTCAGACACAGCAGACTTTAGTTGTTCACTTCACAACCTTCTGGTGACATCCAATGGAGAATGTAGTCATATCTATCTACACTTCTGAGAGGAGGTATTGTAATTATTTACAATGTCCTCATCTTTAGTCAGGAGTTTCAATTCAAACTGATGATTTTGAATGGAAAACATACATGGAATACTCTGAAGAAATAGCATTAGAATCCACATCACTAAGGCCAACCCTATGACCGAGATATAGATAACACCTTCATAATTGGGTCACATCAAGAAGAGGGTCAGCTATTACTGGACTATGTGAACTCAAAGTCAACAATATTGTTCACAATGGAGAGAGAGAAACTAGCGGATGGACTAATATCTCACTCAGAGCATGGGTGAGAGACATCCATACACCACAAGCAAACAGTCACCGGACAATACCTCAACTCCCACCACTCATACAGTGTAGAGAAAGGAGAGGGATACAACCAAGAAATGGTCAGTATAAGCAGTACCATGCAGCATAACTACTCTGGGTACATGATAGCAGCTCTGATAAAGTGGCATAGAAGGGTACAAGAGAATAATACTCAGAAAACAGCTTTGGTCCACTTACCAGAGAGTATTGAAGAAAATACAAAAGATCTGTTGCCCATAACATCAGGACAAACTTCAAAAAGGTTTGACATTTTAGACATTTCTGAGTAAGACCACCACCTCCCCATAGAGTACATGGCTAATGACTTTATGCCACCCTGTACAGCTGTAACACAAGGGGGAATAGGGGGGGGAGTGTATTGAAAGAAAAGGGAGATAGATCACTGTCCCCTACTGGATGAGTGGGGGGAATAAACAGATCACTGGAAAATACAAAAATTTAAGGAATTAAATATGCTAGGCCACAAAAATCTAATCCAGCCAAGCATACAATATGGGAACCAGTAATACAGAATGCCAAGAAAAGCAATAACAAAATTGCAATATGAGCTCTGGTAAAGAAACATGTAAATGGAAAGACTATTAACTGCTGATGTGTCAACGATTATTGCTGAAAGAGCCTATCAAGCTTTAGATATTTCAAAAAGAGTGGCTTGGTAATTGTAACACCTCAAAAACAAAACTGCTGTCTTAATCACCTGAGAGAAGAACCCTTTTTTACCTTCAATAAGATTGCTCAGTCTGCAGCTAAGAAAGCGAGTTCAGTATTGCTGTGTTCAATTCTGGCAAGAAAAGTTGTCAGACATTTTAATAAGTCTACCATTTGTCCTTGCTTTGAATATTGCTGCCATATCTGGTCTGGTTCTCCTGTGACATATTCAGAGATTCTTGATGAAATCTGAACAATCCACAATTTTATTGGTCAGTCACTTTAATGTAGCTTCCCTGTACCTTTTCCATATATATATATATATATATATATATATATATATATATATATATTTTCCATATATATATATATATATATATATATAAAATTTCATGCTAATTGTTCTGATGAAATTTTCTCCACGATATTTAGACTTTATGAATTTTAGTGCAGTACTAGATTGGCAACAAGGCCTCATTTTACACTTGAAATGGCTGTAAAGTTACATGCTAACAGTTTCTTCTCTTGCACTTCTCACTTAAGTATTCCAGCTTCTGGCTTCCCAGTCAACGAATTTTCAAAGATTTGAATGCAACAACAATTGTTATCGTCCATCTTAATCCTCGATAGTTTTCCCTCATTCTCTAGTACTCAGTAACAATGCCTGGGGTAAAAAAAAAAAAAAAAAAAAAAAAAACACACACACACACAACATAACTTACCTTTAGGAATTCCATAAGATGTTTTAAGACACCTATTCGAACTTCGTCAAGATCTTTGAGGAATCCATCAAAAACTGGAACAAGGTCTTTGTGAGTTATGTCCTCACCAAGAATAACAGCAAGTTCATGGATGGAGAATGCCAGGGTTCGGCGAACTTTCCACTGATAAAAGTAAAGGAGTTTAAGAAATAACATTCAAGAAGTAATGCATCATTGAGAAGTCTTCAGCACAAAGAATGGGGGGGGGGGAATCGCAGAGGGAGAGGTAAAACATGAAAGTAGTTAGAAAGATGATTTTGCTCATATCAAGGAAACCGAGTATGACAAACAAATTAGGTGAAAGGCAGGCAAGCAGGGTTACCAGTTTTCCCCGTGTGTGTGCGTGTGTGTGTGTGTGAAAAACACATTGCTGAAAGTTGCATAAACCAATCTCTGGCATAATCAAGCTGTGCCAATTCTTGTATGGAAAACTAATTAGCATAGAGACGACTTTTTTTGTAAATTCTATTTACTAATTAGGTCCTGCACCAGTTTAAAAAAAAAAAAAAAAAAAAATGAACATTTTATACCTGGATAATCAAAGTAGAAATTGAGAAAGACCCATATTTCCATTATAAAATAAGTTTCAATAACTTATTTTGCAACATTCTATTTGTTTTATTTTCTTGGCAGTCTTAATTTGGAAATTAAAATTTCCAAGCCAGTCAAGAATAGAAAGTGAAAGCATTTTACAGGATAAATTTGTAATATACAGACTTGTATATTTGGTCAACAGGAACATCAAGGTGTAGAAACAATGGCTCACTTTTGGTAACATTTACAAACAAATAGGAGCCCCTCAATCTAGTTATTGCCATTAAATTCTTTTACTGTAGTCAGTAAGTTTCAAATATACTTAATTCTTTTTGTTTTACAAAATACAGGAAATCCAAGTTTCTAAGGCAATCTAATCTGTAAAAAGGCAGAATACAAAGTTTGCTACTTTTGCCTTCAGGTGAACCTTTTATCAAAGTAAATACAAGGATTTTATTTTTTAATGTATTTATAAATGGAATTAAAATATTGTTAGGTTTTCAAAATTTTCAAACACTAGCAATATTTTTACAAGTTACCAAATAAAAATCCTTATACTTTGATAAAAAAAAAAAAAAAAAAAAAAAAAAGAGGGTCCACCTGAGGACAAAGTACATTAGTAAGAGGTTTCCTTTTGTCAGGTCTCATTACACACAAGCAAAATCCAGCTTTAAAAAAAGTTTATTACATGGAATTTGTAATCTAGGCAAAGAATCTATAAACAATGAAAAGCTATAAATTTGCATTTCTTTTTAAAGATTTAACTGAAGGCTGTAGGACCAATTTAATGAAGAGTGTAAAAAGTTTAGACATAAGCATTCAATACAAATTGAGCCAATGATGAAGGGAGAAACGGGGAAGGGGGGGTTAAAGAAGTGATGATGGTATTATAGGCGTGATGCTTACACTCACTTGCATGTCAGCAGCCAGGGTCTCAAAAAGGGATTTCAGGCAATGCCAGTTATGCCGGCCAAGGGTATAGGCTACCGCAGGAAAGTTGTAGGCACAGTGACGAGTTATGTCAGAATCAACAGACTGAGATAATGCTGGATCAACCATTGTCAGAAAATTTTCAAGTAATCTAGGAGGCACTATTTCCTGCAAGAGAAAGTAGAGTCAGGAGAAAATGTGGTTTCCAAACTAAGTTCACACAAAAGTGGAGAATCATTTCCCTTGTTAAAAAATATTTAAATACCTCACATCGGCAATTATAAGAGAAAGCTAGGCCTAAAATTTTCACAGCCCAAGCTTACCAAAGGCTCATCTCCATATGCAACAAATAGACAAAGAAAATTGTGGAGAGCCAGGACCAACAACGCCCTGAATGGACATAATACAGATACCCATATATGTATTAGAATATCCACAATTTATAAAAGTTTAAATCCCTTGCGGATTTACATTACTTAAAAAAAAAAAAAAAAAAAAAAAAAATCCAATTTACTCATCGAGACATATACAACAGAAAAGACCATGCTAAATATTTGGTTAGAGCTGCCCCACCTAAGGCATTTCTAGCATCCTGCTAAATTCCTTAGTCAACACTAGGCCACATATGCAGGGTAAACTCACCTCATCTTTTATTTATTCCAGTGGTGAGGAGGAAGTTCCATCTGCACAATCTCTGCAAGACTTGATACTTTATGGAACAGATTCCAGACAGGAAGATCACAACCATGAACTAACCCAGAGTTATCTAGATCTGGCATGTTAAACTCTGGGCATATTGTAAGCTGCATTGGCTTTATCTGCAACTTCAAGGGTTACGCCTGCTTACATTAAACACAGCTAGTGGTAACTAAACTTTAAATACAAAATACTTACAATACAAGGTAGTACAATTTAATCATTTTTATGTCATCCTGATGATTGCTTTAGACAAAGTATTTTTGACACAGATTGGAATATCTGTAGATCCCGTTGATAAAAGATGACAGATGTTCAATTAATCTGGTTTTGCAAGAAGTTTGTGACCTTCATAAACAAAAATAACTGACATGTGAACCCAAACATCACCATAATCTTTGTGGCAAACTTTCTGAAGTTCTTAAATTTCTGAGGAAGGCATGGAAAAATGTCTTGGGGGTAACCAACTTCTAGTACTTTCCCCTCAAGCATTGAGGGAGTCTGCATTTCCAGTAGTTCCATCTGTAGACTTTCCTCTGCCTAAGCAACATCAAGTGAATGGTGCAGAGAATAATGCAAACTGATCATCACAAGAGGAGGAGAAAAAAAATCAATTTTTGCTGAAATTCTTTGACAGCAATTGTCATACTTAGCAAAGACAAATACAGATTCAATATTGTCAGTTTTTTCCAATTCCTTGCACACAGGAAAATGAATCAAGTTTTCATGAAACAAATGAGACTTCAATAAGGATAATTTTGCAATGAAACAATTGATATAACCGAGTGATGAGCTTATTTTCCCCCCTTGTAATTTCAAATTAAGGTTACTCCAGTTGGGCAGTAATACCCACTGAAAAAGCTAAATCTTGGAGCCATCTTTCAATTCATTTGCACTTTGATCATATAAAAAAAAAAAAAAAAACTTCAGTACCTTGTGACATGAAAGCCAAACTTCTGTCTAGAATAGTCCATTTGTGAACAGATTATTCATGCCTTCCAGTAACTGGCTAAACTGAATGACGCAGAGCACGACCTCTGATATAGTTCACTGTTTGACAGCTCAACACATTATCTAATTTAAAATCTTAGAATATGTTCTGTTGATGAACAATACAATTAAAGAGCTCGAATGTTGAATCTGGATACGTTTTCTATTTTTGTACCTAACTTGGCAGCAACACCATTATGTCTCCCAACCATATTGGCAGCGCCATCAGTAGATAAACACACAAGTATCATGCATTGGGATTTGTTCAATTAGTTCTTAAATTTGTAATTCATTGTCACAAGCCCTGATGAAAACAGTAAGCTGTGCTATTCCAGCTATGTCAGTCTTATTCAAAGCAACAGAAAAATGTCCAGAACTTGATAAAGCCTTCAACTGTCAACACAAATCACCTACCATTTCAACAATCTGTTCAGCAACATTGTTCCTGCTTAATGAAAGGTCTTGAAATAAGTGTGGCCTCTCTGGACATACAATTTCAACAGTGTTCCCCCACCTCAGACTTTGCTTTATGAAATCTTCCCTGTAAAATTTTCTACTTCTGGCAATCATTTTGCAGAGATCAAAGCTTGCAGTAATAAACAACATTGCCTTTCTGAATTTTTGTAAAGCAACTGTTGCTGTGTTAACCTTTAATTCCTTCATTTTTGAAACATGCATATCTCATGTTTTTTCACATTCCTTTGGCATCGCAATGCAGTGGTTGTAAATCAGACAGTATCTTTCCATTAACAGTGATACAAAACTACTGCAATTCCCACTTTTCTTGAAACATGACCTTCAGATATTTCCTTTTTACGAAAGAGTAGGAAGACATTTTTAAGGCAAAATGTTACAAACTTACGAACGCTTTCAGTTTACATTTGTTATTTAGTTGTCAAGGATGATATGATTAAGTGGAAGCTAAAAATAGTTGCCGACATTCAAGTACAAAAATGTTGAGATAAAATCTCACTATACCAATTTAAAAAAAAAAAAAAAAAAAAAAAAACCAACACGCACAAACTCAGTTTTTAATGTGCATTACCAACAAAAATTCAATATACCACAACTTTGTGAGGGGCACCAAGCTGCATGTAAAGGGCTGTCAGTTTGACACACTGGATCTAGATTACAAACTTTCATAATATGAAGTCCTTACTTCCTCCCTTTATACCCTTACAATTTTGTTCAGTAACCCTCTACTTTGAGTGGCTCTTTGGCCTCAAGTTTGTCCTTTTACAACAGATTAAACTTGCCACCCACCTGTTGTGCACAAAGTTCAGTTATTCTGTTAATCGGATTGTCAGGGTTAGTGGTGCTGCTGCTGTCATAGTTTTGATGGATACTGCTGCTGCTGCTGTCACTGCCATAGCCTGGAATATTACTTGAACTGATATCTGTAACAGAGTATTAACAACTTTACAATTAGACCAAGAAAGTTCCCTGTTCAGTTACAAACTGAAATGCTACACATGTATAAAAAAAAAAAAAAAAAAAAAAAAAATTAAAGCCAAGAACATCTAGCCTTGCATTAAATTTAATAATCAAATCAAGTAGTTTATACAATAGGCACTGCAACTAAAAGAAATCACTGTTCTACATATATAGTTTTTGCTATATTAATTGCTCCAGATAATTATATATAACTGGGGGTGAGGTTGGTATGTAAATTCATCCCTCCAATGAAGAAAATATGCACATATCAGGCAGCTTCAAAAGTAAAAGTACAACTGGCAGTACTTATACAACTCCAACAGCCCATAAAACTATTTCTACAATTAGCCAATTTTAAATGTAAATTTATTTTTTTTTTTAAAGAAAAGCCACTTTATATTCATTTATTTTATTATAACTCATTTTATCCCAATCAAGGCAATTAGGCTAAGATGCAAGGGGTTACCAATTGTTAGAGAATGCTTATTAAAGATTGCAATAAACCACATTCCTGTCAGAATTAAAAAGTATACCTGTAAATGAACTAACTTTACTAATCTTCAGTAATCAAGACTGCACAATAACTAGAGATAATTTGAACATTTTTTTTTCTCCATGCTCAATAAAAAAAAAAAATTGTATCTTAATAAAACCAATTTCTGATGGTCAGGTGCTTGCAAATTAGCCTTAAAAAAATGTTGCAGAATTTAATTGGACGTGCAGAGTGTGTGCGCGTTTTTTTATGATTCCCAATAAACAAAAATGCTGTTTTATCTCCCAGTGGCAAATTTATTTTGTTTTTTCTAATGCTTGAAAAAATTAACCCTGTACAAGTACTCTGAATTACAGCCCACTGAACCTAGACAGATGCCAACCCCAACTCAAAAAAAAAAAAAAAAAAAAAAAAAAAAACCCATGCTTCATTTCGACAGGTACTCCCTATTGTTATATTTTTGTACACCTCAACTATAATTAAGCTAGTTTTCACCAAACTATCTTTTTGGCAAATTTTTACAAGTTAACTCAATGTTTTGCTGATAAGAAAATATTTGAATTTCTTTAGAGAATTAAATTTCTCCAACTTCCATTTTGGCCTTCCAGACACAGGAAAAGTCATTTTTGATTTGCTAAAGTGTGTGTGCGCACACGCTGGGGGTCCCAACACATGCACAGATAATAGATACTTAAATTGCACACCCTTTACAATAGAGCAGATATCAACTCTAAACTTTCCCACCTTTGCAATGAGGTTGGTGTGGGACTTTATTTTTATACAAAGTGTTCTAATAACTTGCAATTTTAAATGTGGAGAATTAAGTGTGAGTGCCTAATGTTTTTCTTTTAGATTTGGCAGATATTTGGACGATATTTTCCCCCCATACATAGTTGCCATAACTTAGATAACATGATCCAATATGAGAAATAAACACCGATTTATTTACTGCAGACTTTGATCCGTCTTAATGAAACCCTTTATAAACCTTTTTATATATGTAGCATCTTTAACCAATAACAATTTTATGAAGGTACAATTTTTCATTAAAGGTCCTTCGTACTAGTTCTTTTTCAAGCATTCTGGATGCTTGAGTTTTATGCCTTTTGTTTAATAATCCAGACAGGTTTTTAAATTCTATGACTGCAATTTCTCTGGTTTTATTTTTTTTAAAATATTAAATATGCCATACTGCTGCTATTTTACAGACAACTTTCAGCCCAGCCATATGCAGAATAAACACACTGGAACATAATTTGACTGCAACATTTAAAAAGAGGGCTCAATATAGAGTAGACCATAAACATTTTAGGATATCAAGACAAAAAAAAAAAAAAAAAAAAAAAATCAGGTTTCAACACTAGAAATGTGGCCCCTTGGGCAATGCTAAACTACTGGCGATATATACATATAAAATATAGAATTTAACATGAAGTGTTTTCATTGCGTTTAAGTCATGAGGATTTTACTTTACCAAATAGGTAGGTTTGCCTTTAGGTCTTTTTCACTACTGCCATTTTCATTAAAAGCTTTATCCAGATAATTTTACATTTTGGCAAGTTGTCAGTTGGTCCTATCAAGCTTTTGTTTTTCTTCTATAAATAATCTAAGCCTTTCTGATTGAGCTGCATTTTTAATCTGTACTCAAAACCATTGAGTTAAGTGTACACACCAAACTACATTAGGATTTTCTCTCTAAAGGGAGGAGGGACTGGAATTTGGGTTTTCCTTTCAAAGACCAAGCCATCAATTGCAATATATATCTTTGGCATTCACACAGTAAATAACATCTGGGCAAATAATGCAGATGTGCAAACAATGAGACTGAGCACTTTGGGTAAGCTTGAGTGTTGAATAATAATCGGTTTAAAGAAGTAACTTGGAGTAAACTGTACAGAAACAGATCAATCTGCCCAAGCCCACCAACTAAATGTCAGCTCTGAGTGTTCAACCGGCTCCATGTATACTCTGCCATATTACACGACATGATGATAGGCAAATAAGTCAGAGGCCAAGAGCTGATATTTACAAGGGTTGATATGGAGTGCATCAAATGCTAAAAGGGTTATGACAGTGTTCATAACTAGCGGGCTATGAACTAGTAGAGACAATAGGTAGTTTATATATTCAAAAGTTTACTTCCATTCCAAATGTTTTTTTAGATTAACACCTAATGTTCTGCTCAACTTTTCAGGTCATCAAAAAGACTAACATGAGTAATATTCAATTTAAGGCTCTGACCCACTGAAAGAAATTCTATAAAAAGAAAAAAATTCAAGCTATAACAGTATGCATTTATGTGGGAACAATAATACTCCCTTCACAATTTATGGTGGTGGTGACGGGGATATATATATATATATATATATATATATATATATATATATATATATAGAGAGAGATAGCGCTAGTTTATGTTAGACTAGTGTCAACTGTCATGTAATAGAAGGAAAGGGGAATGGCATAAACAAAACGAAAACACTTACATTCACTTAAGCCACCGACTATGATCTTTGTTGAATCATTCATGTGATGACCAAATACGTGGGTGCTGCCAATATCAGATACAGTCTCACTGGGATTATATACTGTACTTATGCTGGCTGTGTGGATTATTCTTGCAGCCCTGAGCTCAGCCTCAGCCCTACTGACTGACTGCGAGTTAGGAGGGAAATCTGAAGACATGCTTCCAAGCTCCATTTCAGCTAGACTGCTCAACAGTTGTTCAGAGACACAGTGGGTGCCACTGCCTAACTCGGGATGGTCCATTGATGAAGAGAGAGAGTAGATTAGTGCAGAACTGTCAGAAGAAATACCAGGCAACATGCTTTGGTCCAACGACTGCTTTGACAGAAGATCCAGCTCAATGTTGAGTTCAGGCAAGGGAGTCCTCCAAAACTGAAATGTGTTGAAAGAATCTGGAGATGAGACAGTGTCATCTGTGGTGATGGTGGTGGTGATAGCAGCTGAGGGTTGAGACATCTGTTCTTGGATAGGATCACTGCTTTGGGGAAGAGGGCTATCACCTGAACATGTAGAGACATTCAATGTTACTTTATTTTGCGGGCTATCACTAGAAGTACTACCAATATCACTACTACTACTAGTATCTGCTGGTGAAAGCTGAGCTTGGACACATAATAACCGGTTCTCTTCTATAGAGATCTCATGGTTATAAGTCATTACTTCTGTGATAGTCCCAGTATTTGTGGTAGACAGTTCCACACTAGCACTGGTGGATTTAATTGTTTTATCACAGTTTTGTTCTACAGTTGTCATATCACAGGATGATGAAGAGGAGGAGGAGGATGAAAGAATGTCAGCTTCTGTCTGGCAGCTGGTTGTTGATTCAGAGGTCTTGCTGATCTCCTGCAAAGAAGGATCTGCAGACATTGGCATAGTCTGTTTAGTGTTGTTTGCTGCTCTATCACATGACAGCTTCGCTTCTTTTTCAGCATCAGTTAGGTTTCTGTGGATTCAAGTAGAAAAATACAAATACTGTAGTTCAGGTTTGGAGGTTCTCAAAGACTAGCCATGGCAGAAAGTCCTCACACATAATACAAAAGAAATAACCATTTTAATTGCATGATTTTACCCAATGAATCTTCAATTACACGACTGCATTCACAAGGGTTCAGGAAGAAAGCATTTGCTGATCATTTACAGTCAAAACATTGGACCGCAAGAAATCTTATTTTACAAGTGGATACTGCATTAATTTTTTTTTTTTTTTTAAAGAGACCCCCCCCCAGATACATGCTCTATTTAATCTTTGGATGGGGGAAATTGATCTATACCCCATCTACCATGGTATTTGCATGTAACAAACTAAAGTTGAATTAGCTGTCAGATTTTGCATCCTAAACTACTCTCATATACTACCCCCACCAGACATTAGCAAGAGACCAACCCTAGAATCAAATTTGACTATTTTGATAGGTCTTTTGAGGTAACAAGACTAGCTGGATATCAAACAAAGGACAATTGTCAGCAAATTTAAGGTCATTTATTATAAGTCATTTGGCAACCAGGTTATTTTTGCCAATTTGAACAACAACGACTATCAAAAAGGTACCTGCAGGCCCGTTCAGTAAAATTTCTACAGATTCCATGGAAGACACTACTGCTCGATTCCAAACAAAAGCGCTCAAGTTTTTGCACCTTGACAAATTCAAAAGGCTCTGATCATATGAAACAAAAAGGAGCCTTTTGGGCACAGGAACATTGCTTTTGTTTAGTTAAAAGAGCTATTCCTTCAAGCTAAAAGGTTGTCCCAGCAGCAAGAATGGCATTCCTATCTATGGAGGTTAGGGAGAAGTCAATGAGATTAGTATTATCCAGCAAAAATGGCACTAGGACAGATTTCAAACCAAATAACCTAAAATGACTAGGATTATCCAGATTTCAAACCAAAGTAACCTAAAAATGACTAGGATTATCCAGATTTCAAACCAAAGTAACCTAAAAATGACTAGGATTATCCAGATTTCAAACCAAAGTAACCTAAAAATGACTAGGATTATCCAGATTTCAAACCCAATAACCCCTAAAAGGATTATCCAGATTTCAAACCCAAAAAAAAAAAAAAAAAAAAAAAAAAAAAAAAGCCATGGTGAGGAATGCCACATTTGAAGATCTTAAATCACTGCAAAAATTTAAGCTGCAGAGGTTTAACAGCTATATATAAACTTAAGACTTACCTTTCAGCAAGATCTCTTGAGACATGCAACACACCATCTTCACTGACATACAATCCAGACTCATTGTTTGGAGAAGAGAAAGTGGAGATAAATGGACCCAGCTGCTGGAAGGCAGACATCCTCACCTAAATAACAAAAAAATATTGGACTTTTGAGTACTACTCATACATTGAATATGGTCTCCTTCACAGAATATGCAATTTGATTAGTTCCATCAACATCTAGTGCTGTAATATAGATTTCCTGCATTTTACCTATGAGTATCTTCATGCCAATTGTTCCGATAACTTTCCCTCTTCATTGAAGTGGTTAGATGTATATCTAAATTAGATCATAGTTGATAGGAAAGTCAGTCTCCACTTGATCTAAACCCATGATGTAACAAAAAAAAAAAAAAAAAAAAAAAAACACAAACACCACCCCCTCCAAACTAGCTCCATCTTACATTGCTCAATTTAAAGTTCATGTTTGTATTTGAAAACTTTAACAAACTTCATCTAGGAGTGAAGTTGATGTCCCCAATGTAAGAACGAGGGGGGGGGGAATAAAACTTAATTAGTGAAAGACTTAAGAAAAAAAAAAAAAAAGCCTTCCACTGACAAAAGGTTAAACAGTGCAATCCTACAGCAATTTATGTAAGGTTTAAGTAAAAATAAGACTTTACTTACCCATCGAGATCTATCACAGAGTAAGCTGACAAATAATGAAGTGAGCATGTTTCGCCTCACTTCCACAGAGCACACGGACGCTACAGCCATAAAGGACTCTGCACAACCCTTTCGTACCCCCCATACACCATCCTCACACAATGAACTGAACCTACCAAGCTGAAGCAAAAGAAAACATCTATTTTAGACATGATAAATACAAGAGGTCAAAAGAAAACCTTACCTGTATTGAAAAAAAATAAAAATAAATAAAAAATTCATGAAGTTGTACATCCTAACATGAGAGAAAGAAACTAAGAGCTATAAATGGGCAGGACATTGTAGAGAGCCATGCTTAGCCACATCCTGATGGGGTATAGCACAGAATTATAGGCTACATTATCTTCCAAGAATCATATTGTAAGAGGTTTCCAATAGCAACAAAGGAGAAATTCGTCTAGAAAGCTAGAACCAAGGTTTAGAACCAGAGGTTCCACATTGGAATGCCCAAATATAATGAACCAAGGTGAGCGAGGAGAAAAATCTGGCCAATTTAAACTATTGCAAAACTTATTGAAGGACCTTTGTACAAGGTTCCTTACCTAGGAGTTCTATGAGAAGTAATAAGCTAGTATTTTCCTTTTCCACCCTTTCTGGTAGATAATGCATTTCAAGATAAATACCTTATGATAAGCTAAGAGTTAAGCTATTCCAGGCTGGCTGATATATCTGTCTTGCTTTAGTCTTGACAAAGCGCACATAAAAGAGTCAAGTAGTTTTCAACTGATGCAGATTTCTATTTTGTCAATAATTCTAATTGGGGATTGACTTTACCTAGCATCGTTTAAGCCATCTTGATATCAATAAAAACTGAATATATTATACCTCCCTCTGCAATATGTCCCAACACGATTAGAATTTATTAAAGCCTAAACACATTTACTGTGTCAAGGGAATAACCACTGCGCACACACACACACACGTTAGGGTATGCTATATTTGGGTTACAGTGCTCATTATCAGGGATAGAGCATATGTAAATATTAAAATGAGCCACTGACATCCAGAGATGACAGGTTTCAAACCCAACAATTAGATTTAGCATAAAACAGTTGCCTTTGGGAGCTGACATCAATGTCCACATAATGAAGTTAACCTCGAAGTACAAGACCCAGGGTCCACCCATGGTAGAGAATTAGAGTAAGAGTTACAGTTTATACAGATATGTTGGGAAAGATAATGATTAACCCTAGACTAACAGGTTAAGATGGAAACAATTGAGGAAACATCCTCTTTGGAGTTGGTTTCTCAGAGCAGCAATTCGCAGGAAGACACTCAAGTGAAACTTATACCTCATCAATGGAACACAAAAGGAAAGATTGGTATTTCACTACAATGTATGTAGCATGGCAGGTCTTAGCCATGACGACTGGTAGAATTAAATCTAGCTGTTTAAGCTCTTTCCATGTAAATAGCAAGAGAGCAGCAAGACCTTCAAGAGGGGTTGCTGGTTGGAAAATAATGTCACCTACAAGGACAGACTTTTGGAGTCAGACTGGAATTTGAGGAATGGGCAGCTCCTGCCTAAATATGACAATACTCCATTTTAGGCCTGATCTGGCTCATTCGGATATTTACAAGATTATAAAAAAAAAAAAAAAAAAAAAAAAAGTGAAATTCCCTTCCTTGCAACAATGGTCTAGAGGTAAGAGATCTGACTGATATCAAATCAGTCAGGTTTCAATCTTGGCTTGAAGCAATGGGACATCTAACCACACAGACATGATACAGCAAAACTGGAGGAGATATCTATCTCAGCCTATGCAAGTATCACAACTAAGACAAGGGTTACAGGGTGTGGAAGAACTAGGAACAGAAACAATGAGCAGCAAGGGTAATTACGAGTGCAGTAAATAGCAATCGACCCTACATTTAAATTTTTGCAGGTTAAGTTGGCTTGAAAGCATAGAGTTGGAAGGGAGTCCCATAAGTTAGAAAGACAGCATAGAGTTTATGGCTACATGCATCCAGCTCAACAATTAACAGGGCTAATCTAGTACTGTGTCTAAATTCAAAGAGTCTCGGTACTATAGCAAAGAGATCATTGGAACAAATCCTTAATGTGTTACAACTGTCTCATAATATATTGGAACTAATGAATTTAGAAACATTAATAGGAACACACACCAAAAGATCTTCTCAAATACAGTAGCTATACACAAATAAGTTCAACCAGATCTTTACAATACTATACAAAGAAAATTAATATTGATTTGCCAGATCCTGTGAAAAGGGAGACTGCCAATTAAACAGCGAGTTTTTAAATATGAGAAAGTTCTTTGCTTAACATGTTAGTGCTGGAGTCCTATTTTGGGATAAGGATAATTAACCTTTACTGCACCAGAGGTAAAAGCTTGCCACAGAATTCTCTCCCTTTGCTCCTCTAGGCACTTTACGCTACTTTCAGACTTGCTATAAACAGTTGTCAACCATTATTCCTGGTATTTTAAGCTGGAAATCACCTAACCTGGCTTTGGGACGAGGCTAAACTTGTGTTTTCTGATGGCATTTTGAATTCTACTTTCTACATTAAGTGTAACATCAATTAAACCCATGTTTAATTTGATTTTTTGTAGAAAAAGAAAGAAAATTGCCACATCAACAAAGCCTTTATCCAGTTTTTCTTTGATAAAGACTCCAATGATTTTGAAGTCTTTGGCAGTGAAATAGTCAAAGACGATATCTATGCTAGTGACATGGAGGAAAGCAATGATGACCACTAGATACCAATCATCTATCAGCCATGGGCGACTAATTTTATGGAAGCTACTGATTGTCTTTCTGAAGGTGAATTATTTTAAATAATTACAAATAAGTGATAGGTTAAAGAAAGAGCAAGCAAATATTATGTAAACACGAGGAAGCATGCTAAAAAAAAAAAAAAAAAAAAAAACTTAGCATTTTTAAACATCAGATCATGCATGCAAAACTTAATGTACATTACACCAAAATATTACATAAAGTTTAATCATTGCTATCTACTGCATTCTTACAAATGTGACAACCCCCCCCCTGCCCAAAGCATAAAATACAAAATATTTTTAAAGTTAAGCTGGTACAGTATACAGACTTTCTCCCTAATTTGAACTAGGAGGTATCTAGTATTTTGTATTCAATTTCAAGTGGGGAAACCAAGACTTGCCCACCATTTAAGCTCTTATTTGCAGCTTAAGAGATCTGTCATAAGCAAGAATTTAGAAAATAGGAAATCAAAAGCCATGCTTACAAGATTATACTCAGTACTTTCACCACCAACCACTGCACACATCTCACCAAAGTTACAAGCACAGATCTGGAAAAGATAGGAGTTTATTCATAGACAAAGGTTAAATCAAAGTTCAACATTTTGGGTTTACAAGGTGTATTCATATATTTGAGGTCGACTATCCACAAAGGGGCAATGATTTTGTAGGGGGGGGGGGTTAGCACCCATTAGGTTTCCAAAGCTATGCTACAAAAAAAAAAAAAAAAAAAAAAAAAAAAAAAAAAAAAAAAAAAAAAGTATATTTTGTAGGATTAACCCCCACAGAATAAAAACCTAAATTGGATATGCCAACTTAGGAAATATTCTTCCAAGTGTTTAAAGTTGACTCATAACACCTGTAACAGAGTGGTAGTATCATGGCATAGGCTGTTTCCATTGTGATAATGTTGATCCCATGGAGAACAAAACAAAACATTTGGATGCCCTGTTGAAATATGAAAACATTTAATCTATGTTAGCAATATGTTCAAAGGAAACATTTACCATCAGTGCTGACATGACATGGGATGATAGCATGAATTAAAAAAAAAAAAAAAAAAAAAAAAAAAATCTCAAAGGTGACTAGAAATCATGCAATAAAGACCAGAACTTTACAGACAAAAGTAAAGCCTCACACACAGTAATCTATATAAGCATTAGTACAATTTATGCCAATACTAAGCCCAGAGTAAAAATGCCAACCTTTAAAGAACCAGCAGGAGGTGGAACTTTACATTTATTTCTGTCAGTCAAGTGACTTACCCAAGGGACACATTTTAGTGATCAGGTGTTTCAATTCGACTAAGCAGAAGATTCCCACCCCTTACAGGATTATAGGAACGAGCCTATTCTTCTAATCAACACAAATGAACAAATTCATATCTTCCTTCAAGGGTCTTTGCAGGTAAGTCAAAGTAATGGACACAGCTCTCAGATTACTCATCCCAAGCTGTTAACCATTACATGACACCATACATTTAGTAATTTAAAAAATATCCCCACTTCACATTAACCGAGATACAAGGAAAGCATTTAACATTAAGACAGTATAATATCACTTTCAAAACTTAAATTGTTTTAGTCTTCCGAAAGAATGATAAATTGATAACAATGCTAAAGTGAGGACTGACACATCCCACTTCCCCCAAAACTTATAAACAAGTGTCATACTCACCTGTCGCACATGAAACAAAGGGTCAATACACATTTGCGTGAAGTGAGCAAGAAACAGACATTCTGTCATTTCCCGGCCAAGTAAGGGTGCCATCTTGCACATTAACTGTAGGTACAAGTTAAAACAAAATATTAGCAAGACAAATTCCATTAAATGAGGGAGATTTATTTTTATATATAGTCTTCATTAAAAGGTGTAGCTAATTCTAAATTAGCTCCCTGTAATAGTTTGACAAAAGCAGATATAACTGCTTATGTGAAGGAAAAAAAGTATCAGAGTCCCACAGGCAGTTCAAAACAATCTGCTTAATTGAAATTATGATTAAGGAGATTCTTTAGGAAATCCAAATCACCAACTTTGTCGAGCTGCCTGAAAACAGGTCTGCACAAAGCTAAAGGATGGACTTTGTGGGGCCCCCAGGATCTGGGAATAACTATTTAGGAGATGCAAAGTAAACACTATCTTGAATGTAGTGTAAACCCCACCCCCATTCTGGAAGAACTTCAATGAATGTCATTTTGTTAATCCAAATACAGATTATTTTTCTTCATACATGGCTTTTCAGAGTGCAGGGATAATCTCAAAATTGAAAAGGGTTGGGGGGGGGGGGTTGCAGAAGTTATTCTACCATATTTATTACTGCGAGAGAAAAAATTCCATCCATCTCAGTTTCCAAGCAAAGAGCCTAACTTATTGATAACCTGGAACAAAGGAAACAATTTTCACACTTAGAAATTTTACATCAGGTACTCTAACAGTTATTAAATGAATTTATAAACAACCATAACAGTTTGATAATTATGAAATGTTGAGGAAATAAAAAAATCCTGCTAGTAGTTTGGAAAATGTTACCTTACTTAAAATGGGAACATTTTAAATATGTAAAGTAAAAAAAGTTTAGTATAATCATCACAAAGCCCACATCTACAAACACAAAAGAAATTTATTTTATTTCTTTTTAGACAACCATTCAAACTCTTGTAATACACAGGAACAAGACTGGGAATAATTTTGATTTTTTTTTTTAATGCCACCCTAATAAAAAAAAAAAAAAAAAAAAAAAAAAAAAAAAAAAAAAATTCTTTGAGGAACTAATAACAAATTACCAACTAAATTCATAAAAGATTATTACAAGACACTTCCAACATTCATTGAATCCATTCTTAAAAAAATAGAATGGAAGTTTATCTAAAACAAATGGTGTGTATGATGTAAAAGTTCCCAAATCAACAGGTGAAAAGCCAAGAAACAATGTCTACTGGACACACATACTTATGAATATACATTATCATCCGATTCCCACAGAAACTAGAATTTTCATACATCTAGCAATATTCACAGCTTTTCAGGTAAGATTTGAATTAATTTTGTGAAACTTCAGATGGACTTGTTATCCCTCGAATTCAGAAGGCCTATAAAGACATTGTTTATACATTCTTTTTTATAGATAAAAATATCTAAGTAAATGCTCTGTTTATAATAAACAGTATTAATGTATAAACAAAAATGTCTTAAAATAATTCTCAGACTGTCCATTTTATGTGACGTCATTTGTTTACATAGAAGCAATTAAGGTTCAAGTATAGACTTCCCAAAAAAGGAGTTAAGATTTTAAATTAGGGCTAATACAATAAATGTACAAGTTATTGTTGATAAAAGTAAACAATTTTACGATTTAAAAGTTTTATATAGCATGTTTGAATATGGCTGCATTTTCATTTTTTAAAGCCAATTTATGGAATGCCATGCTTACTTTTTGACATTAGCATTGCAAGTCAACTTGAGGATTTCCTATTTAAGTGTGTTTAAAATCAGTGGCATAGCTAAAGTGCTCTGCCCAGTACCCACAAAAATGTTGCACAGTAACTCACTAAGTACCATTATATTATTCACATAAATATAGTCCACTTTAGATACAAGCTTCATCAGTAACAGTTAAAAGCAAATTGTCAATTGTCATTATAGACAGAAACTATGGCACATAGGTGTAAGTTACTAAAAAAATCCTACAGCGCACACACACACACACACACATCTATTGCTCAAAGCCTTCTACTCCTTTAGTAGTGTTACTATAGCTGTCTATATTGAAAGAACTTTTAAGATGTGTTAATAAAAGTGTTCTTTAGAGATTATTTCTCCATGCAAATAAGAGTACTAGGCTTCCATTTTGGGAAAATGGGCTTTAACAATGGCTTAAGCTCAATTACATTTCACTTGTAGTGAATGTTTTTTTTTTGTTTTTTTTAGCCTAGCTGTTAACCAGGGGGTTGTTTTATTTAAGTATTTAAACTGTTAGAACTTGAAGTTCTCTTGACAAGATTTGCACATTTGAAAATGGTTTCAATATAGAGACTGGTGCTACATTAAAGTTTAAAAATTAAGATCTTTTATGGAAGAGAAAAAAAAAATTTTGCCATCAAGCCTTCTGGTGAATGAAGGCAAGGCAAACCAGTCTTTTTAAGTTGGTATAACCAAGACTGAAAGTAAGATTCAATAACATTTATACAGATGGTAAAAAGTTAAAATATTAAATTACTGCTTGATAAGTTATCCCACAAGCAGTAGAACAACAATCTACCCCACCCACCCTGTAGATAAGAGGGTTCAGATCAAAATCCACCCCAAAAAAGTCACTAGGTAAAGGAGGGCTCAATGAGAGAATAGTCAGCATGTAAGTAACGATAAACCCTCACTCCAGAAATTAGTCTGGAGCTTGCTAGCTAAAACAATGGGCAATAAATAAGTAAATACTATGCATTTCCTTATACAGTATAATATTAAGGGGATATTGCATTCTTGTAAAGGGGGAGGTGCACGACCCTACATTCAACTCAGTTCAGACTAGATAAGGTAGAAGTGGAGGGTGGGAGGCAGGAGAGAAGTTTTTATGGTCTTAAGTTAATAGTCCACAACTGGAATAGCTACTGTATTTTTACATTTATCATTCCTAATGTGAAAACAAGGAAGCTTTGCAAAAAGTAGTGTGTGATTATATAGAGAAATTTTAGAAGTGATGGAAAGTTTTCATCTGACATGTTCTAACCTTTAGCCTAGTTAATTTTTCCTAAGAGGTGACAACGCATACAAAGAATTTTATTTTTAACATTTTTGTATATAATATAGCAGGGTTAGATATTGGGGGGGGTTTCCATTACTTAAATATCACCTATTTTAATAGATTTGCCAAGAGCGAATGCAAAAACCCGATGCAAATCCACTGCAGATCTAGTGATCCAAGAACAGTTTAATCACAAATGTCTAAACATTTGCCTTTTTAGTAAAAGTGATTGAGACAAGGTAACTCGTTAGTCTTAAATTTAAAGACTCATTTAAATTCATGTATAGTTCTAAAAAGGAGGAAGAGACATACAGTGAGTATATGCTAATAGTAAATAAATTTAAATTATATAGAAAAAGGATTAACAGCTGTACAGTAGACACAGCAACCAGAAAATCATTTCCAGATACTCAGTATGTAAGAAGCACTACATAAATAAAAAAATTTATGTCAGTTAATGGAGAGGGGGAATCGAGTTTGCTATGTAAACTGACCCTGCCACTCAAAGTCAAAACAGATATGCCATAGGATTTATTGATGTCATAACTAAATGCTTTTTTTTAAGCATTCCACATTAAGGTTTAAAAAGGTTTTGGAAGTCCATATTGTTTTTCCTGAGTGTTTGTAGTGGATGTGTGGGAGGTGCTTTTTACAGAGACTTGTAAGTTTATTATAGTTGAGATTTAGAGTGCTTAGTTTATAGTAGGTACCCCCATGAGATTGCTAAGAAGAGCATAGCATGATGAAAAAGACTTCAAACTTGACAAAATTTTAGTGTCTACATTGTACATGCTAAGAGGAAAGTTCAAAGTATTTTTGGGGTATTTAAAAAAATTTTTTTTTTTAAAACCGTTCCTAGCATGTCCAAAATTTTCATTAAAAGATCTTGGAGTTGGCAAAATTGACAGATAATCATGGCAACATTTTCCATAAGCAATGATCATTTTTAAAACTTAAAATCAGAAATTCTGTTTATTTAAAATATTTTGAACCAAGTCTAACTTAACTTCTGCACCAAAAAGATGTAAATAAAACAAAGGTCATAACCTTTCACACCACTTGACAGGTGATGAAGGAGGTATTATGTGAGGATAATTTGTTCTACAGAACAGTGATGTTATTTACCTCGTTATTTTTAAGGACTTTCAGCACTATTTTTGTAGTTAGCTTTCACCTTTACTATGCTTTATGGAAAATATAAAAGAAATTAAAAATCTCATAAGGACATTTATGAAAGCAGATGCGGCTTTTAATTAACATATATATGTATATCTCTTGCTATAGATTTCATAAAGCAAACAGACTATCAAAATTTGAACAATATTTTATAACCTGTAAGTAAAAGGTGGCCAAGCAGTGGAAAAAAAAAAAAAAAAAAAAAAAAAAAAAATGCTGGACAAGTTTGAAATATTCAGTACAGATATTACACAAAAGACAGTGAATGCCTAATTGTCAATCAAAAGGTTTTAATTTATGATGTGCACAATACAAGCTGTAAGAAAAACCTGAAAGAAAAGGACAGGCTTTTTAGTAAAACATGGCAACAGTAGTAGAGTGGGAAGATAAAGTTTGCTGCTGGAAGTGGCATCTGAAGGTTTGTAGTGAAGGGCTTCCTCTCATCAAAGCAGGCTGTGATACGAATAAGATCAAGAGCGTATGACAGCCACTTTGATGAAAGGAGATGCCAGCCATTGCAGCACCATCTCATGTTTGAGCTCATCAAAGCTGGCTGTGATATGGTGAATGATAACACATCACCACCACTTTGGTGACTCAAAACAGAGAGGCCAGCTCCCAGAAGGGAACCTCTGGCTGAGCAATCTCCTTCGGTAAGTCTGCTGAAAAGACAATACCTACTGCATGCACAATCTACCTGTGGCTAGAAAGGGGGGTGGGTAAAAAAAAAAAAAAAAAAAAAAAAAAAAAAAAAAACAAAAAACAAAAACACACACACAAAAACATGACAGCTTTAGGGAGGAGAAAGAAACCATAAGCCGCGTATATGGACATAAGTGACAAGAGGCCCAGCAATTTATATTAAGCAATTAATGGAGATTTACCAAATGCATAAAATCTGGGCATACATATGCAAATCCAAGTCAACCAGAAGGGTGAAGAAAAAAATATCCAGACTAGACTAGGATATAGTCAGTTTACAATTGGATAAATTGTCAGTGCCTTTTTTGTTGTTGCAGCAAATAACCAAGTCACAGCTCATCAAAGCTAGCTGTGATATGTCATATAGCCAGCACATCACAGCCAGTTGATGAGGTGTGATGAGGTCAGGTGGTCCTTCATGTCCAGGAGATTGGCTAAGTGCACAGTAAGACTGCACAGGCAGGCATGGGTTTTAGGCTACAGAAACTGCTGAGAGCACCCCCCCAACCCAAAGCATCATGGTCAATGCAAACAAATTTGAAAGCTTTGGCAAAGAGGAGCAAGTTCAGCTAAAATAAGGTCTTTGGCAGGATTAAAAACAAAAACACACACACACAAACAGAAGTATGAAGTGTGCAAACGAGCCAGATTCCAGCTCATCAAAGCTAGCTGTGATATGTCATATTGTCAGCGTATCACAGCCCTTTGAGGAGTTACAATAGGCTCTGGTCTAAGACTTAAAAGAAAAAGGCGTAGACAGCAAGGAGAGAGAGCAAACATTTTTCACAAACTATCAGCAGATGAAGGCAACAATAGCAACCTAAAAAAGCCAGTCGGGTTTAACACATTAAGTGTAGGAGAAACTTCAGGAACCTTTCTATCTGCCTAGTTAAACTATCACCAAACCCCTAAAAGGGAATAAGGGAGCAGGAAACCCAGTCCCAGCTCATCAAAGCTAGCTGTGATACGTCATATTGGCAGCATATCCCAGCTATTTGATGAGCTGCAACAGAGCCAAGGTGTCAGAGGGTAAGGTTAAGTGTTTAGTGGGTTCAGTGATGGGGCAGAGAGAGAGAGAGAGAGAGAGAGAGAGGTTGGGGTCCAGAAAACAAGAAAAAGTTTTTAACAGGTCTCATAGCTTCAAGTCAGGAGTTTTTGCTCCCATGTTAAGTAATGTTCCAACAAAAACAAACCTCAATTTCAGGATCAGTTTGAAAAAAAAAAAAATTATATATATATATATATATATATATATATATATATATATATATATATAAATATAATAAATAAAAGGTAAGCAGTACTTTAGACTTTTCAGTTAAGTTCTAAGTTTGTTCTTAGAGCCTGAATGTGAACAGGTGAGTGAAAAGCAGCAACAGCAGGGAATGTCAGTGATTAGCAACAAAAAGAGCAGCTAACAGCAAAGTCCCAGCTCATCAAAGCTAGCTGTGATAAGTCATATTATCAGCATATCACGGCTATTTGATGAGTTGCAACCAAGCCTCATCTCTTGGATGCAAGAGTACAGAGCATGCATGGGTGAATTAAAGACACCAAGCTTATATAAAGTTCAGCCATGGAGAAAAGAGGAAGGTCACATTCAATAATGGTAATAATAAAAAAAGTTGCAGTCCAATGTGAAGGGGAAATTAAGACAGCAGGCTGTTGTAGAGCCAAGAGCCTATTACTGATCCAAGCAGGCTGTGATATGAAACAAACATCGCACACTTCACAGCCACTTGGCCAGCAACAGACATGGCATAACAGGTTGTCATATTTGGTGAGCAAGTGTCAGTTCACTAGGAGGAAAGCAAGAAAGTAAAAGACAAAATAAAAATAATAAAAGAAATAAAATATTAAAAAGTCAGTGATGATTGGCAGGAGACGAGGCTCATCAAAGCTGGCTGTGATAGACCAAGGAGATTACTATGACATCCAGCATTGATGCCTTCGCAACCTGGTCATATAGTTTCGTATTGAAGAGAGGGAGGCAGTTTACTTACTAAGCACAATTGGCTTTACAGGTCAGGTAAGAGAGGAAAAAAAAAAAAAAAAAAAAAAAAAAAAAAAGCATGACGACATTACCTGAAATTAGGCCAAATGGTCAGGCATATAAAGTGAGCCACTCGAAAGACAGGGTAGTAAGAAGTCTAGAGCACAGCATCTCACTACCCGTGTCTTTCAAGCCGAACACAATGAAGTCATTTTAAGGGTGTGCATGTGTAGAGCTGGAAAATGAATTAAGTAGGAAGGAGAATAAAGATTTGTAAAGTGAAATTAAAATGCAATGATAGAGAAAAGTCCACTTACTGCAGCAGCTTCTGTACGGAATTCATCAGGACTGCCAGGACCAGCAAGGTCCAATAACACCTGTACCACCTGGTCCTCAACATCAACTGAAAATTTTCAAATAGCAGAATCTGTTGCATTGGTAAGATTTTAAATTAGAAGTTAATTTAGTATACTAAGAAATGAGTATATTAGTTTACAATGTATCACTAAAAAAAATTTTTTTTAGCAAAAGCTTATCCTACCAGAGAGGATCATTTATTAACAGAGTCATGAAGTGAAATTAAGATTTAAACTAGAGGATTGGTTTTCCAGCTTACTGGGCAGGCAATTTGTCTTACAGCCTAAAAATAAAAATCGGACACTTACCTCTTTCAACTAATTCCTGTTCCAGAAGTACAACCAGGGCAGCATGACTTGTCTTCCTAACCTACAGAAAAAGAATTTTTTTGGAAGTAGCAGAGTCAGTTTTTGCAGTGACAAGACAGTAAAATAAAATTAACCAGAAAGAAAATTAAAATTACTGTCTTGCCTTTAGCGATTAGATTTGCTTTCAAGGGAGACTATCAAGATGACAAAATAATCAAGTCAGTTATGGAATTTTACTAGGAACAGTTACTTCCCTTTAAATATGAACATACACTAGAGTTGAACCGGTAGGTTCTTGGCATTTATTTGTAGCCGTGGATAACTTTAGTATAGCAAGTAATTGACACTCGCCAGTTAGAGTAGGTGGCCAAGTTAAAGTTTGAATTTATGACAAATTAAAAAACTCCAAAAAAGATGGAGATTTTAGTTTGGAGAAGTGTTTCCAATTCTAAATCTTACCTGGTTATCATTGTCACTGAGGTATTTCACAACAAGAGGAAGAATGTAAGTGGCAACAGCATTTGGAAGGAAGTTCCTGTTTTCCTGACAGTACATTGCAACATGAGGAACTTGTTCTACCAGATCCGAGCGAACAGTTGGTTCTGCAACAAAATTGCAAAAGTTGTGAGAATGAAAAAGTTATAGACTACACCTGCCTATTAAAAAAAAAAATAAGTAACTTCATATTTAGGAGAAATTTAAAAGGTTAAAATCCTCAATTGAGGTCACACCTAGAAGAGGAAGTCAAAAGTAGAAATCAACATATTTGAGTTGTTTCAGTAGACAAGTTTCCCCAGTTGAATCACAGCCAACTAAACCATTTTTAAACTCTAGTACCCTGCATTATTATTAATTCCTTTATACTGCATCTTTTCCAAAGCCCTTTCAATCACAGTATCCGTATTAATTTGATACAAAAATTGTACCCTATTGCCATAGCAGGATATGAAAACAAGAAATTCAAACTTGTTTAGGGATTAGAGTCACCTTCAGTGGCGGGATCTTTTTTATGCAGCAAATGAAGTTAGTGATAAGGATAATTTTCAAACTGTCAAGAGATGGCTATAGAGCAGCATGTTGATTATGTGGGTTTGAGAGGGAGTGGCAGACCACAATTTAATTGGAATGTTAGCAAGTACATTACTAGTGAAGTAGGCCAATCAGGGGATTGACAAGTTATAAAATTTACTATTTAGAAAGATTACTTTATATAAAGTTCATACTATGGATCTTACATGAGCAATTATTTATCCTTTTAAAATCAGGAATTAAAGTTAGGAAGTGCTAGTAAAAGACTGCAATTTGAGATTTAAGACTTACCAACATCACTTGACAGGCGCACCATGGCCTGCAGGACAGCAATACAGTCCTCTTCAACACTGCCAGCCGCACGTAAAGTTTCTAGAATTCCTCTTGCTAGCAACTGCCTAAAACAAGGACAATACAAAAACTAGTAGATATCTTGTCAAATTAAAAAAAAAAAGTTATGCAATTTTTATTTGGGGGGGGGGGGCTTAAATAATGATCAGACATTTTGGGAATTTAACATTTTAAATTATTTCTAGCTACATAAATCTTACACACACACACACACACACACTAAATAATGCCAGGACAATTATAGGAATTTAGACGTTAAGGCTGCAGGAAACGCAAGATAAGTTTTTTAGTTAGCAGTCAAAGATTCGAGTTGGACCCAGATTGTTTAATGCATCCGTTTAAGTACAGTATATCGAGTAGTTAAACAAGCCTTTAGTTTCCAAACAAAACATTCAATATCTTCAGATTGTCAGATTCTTAGGCATTTAAAAATAAAAATATTAAGAGTTATGCTAATTAGCATAAGTGACATTTCTACAGAATCTTGAAGGGAAGCGACAATACATTTGAAAACTTGTGATGGCTTAAAGTTCAGTTACTATGTTATTGTTCAATAGCTTTTCAAGCCTTTATGGCGAGATCAACAGGTTGACATTTCCAAGTGAGATGCGTTATTTAAGCAAAGAGTCAAAAAAGCTCTCGTGGATTTATCAGCATGTAACATCTTGAGACCAGTACACATTATCTTGAATAATCCACCCTTTCCCCGACTCCACATTTAGGACTGATAGTACCCCTGATCATTTCTTTTATACACAGAAAAGGATCAATTCCAGTCCCAATAAAAGACGAGTTTATTAGAAAAAAAGAATTTCGGTGAGCAAAAAAACGATTAACACTTTAGCAACCCAATGGTAACGGAATTATAAAGGTAAAAAAAGATGCTATGTATATGAAATATAAAGGAAGAAAGTCTTAAAGGGAAATCGTAAACGATAACTTACCGGCTGAATGCATTGTCGCTATCCATATATTTTTCCAGTTTCTGAAGTGCCGTAAGGTTGTCATCTGAACAGAAAGATTCTCCACAATTTCCACCTTCCAATCCATATCCTAAAGATAAATCTACTTTCTATTAAAACGTGTAGAAAGGGAAAAAAAAAAAAAAAAAAAAAATGAACGGAGGGAGTTACCAGACATTAATCCAGAGAGCAAATAAAGATTCTGCGCGGGAGAGCGACAATCTTCACAAGAATGGAAAACAGAAAAAAAAGAGGAGGGGAGGGGGATCAAGAAACTCCACGCGGTCGGTCACTAGTTAAGGTTAAGTAGTGGAGGGGAAAAGATTAACTGAAGTTAAAAGCAAAAAGGTCTAGGTCGCAAGTTAAAGAAACCAATTTAAAAGCCGGAAGTGTTAAAAGTGCCGAGTAAAAGAAAGAAGAATTAGACTATTTGTAATTTAAATGTAAGAAGAAAACAAACTTCAGATTAGGAGCAGAGTTAGGAATTAGAATACCTGGTAAGAAATCGGTGGACATTGTCAAAGGATGATTTTTTTTTTTCTAACACTTGGGGAAAAAAAAAAAAGAAAAGAGAAAGAGAAGAGTTTAGGAAAGGGCGGGAGTGGTATTCGCGTCCAACATGTTCCGGAAGATCAAGAGAAAGAATGAATAAAATAAGCGTAGAAGAGAAAGGGTGGGGGAGATTGCTGGCCGAACACGTGCTGCACACTAGCGGCACCACAACTACGGCGAAAAGAGGAAATACTATTGACAAGGGCAGACAACTAAAGGTACCACTGACAAAGACTACTATGAAGATTTCAAAGATAACCACAATGGAAGTTACCAGTGACAACGATGAGTTCACAAGAGACGTTCAGCTTTCGTAAATATTACTTTAAGAAAAAAAAAAGTCAAAGTTAGGTAAGGATTAGTTTTAATTAAATTATAAGGGAAATTTGAGTGCTTCAGAATTCAGTGTGAAAAACCGAACTTTCATACTAAGTTTAAGGTTGATATATTTAATCAGTCAGAAAAATTTACTTTAACAATGTCAGAGTTTAAAGCGAAACTATGACGGTAGTTTGTAGTAACCAAGACATTTTAGATAACTAAACGAAAGAAAAGTTACAGAAAACATCTTGACCTACTTAAGCGGTCAGGAGTCAATTTTAGGTCAAAGAAGGACAATTAGTTGCTGTATACTGACCAAGCTATACTTCAGTCACGAAGTTCTTGGTTAGGATTGTGGTAGGGATATAGAAGGAAAAAAACAAAAAAAAACACTACATCTTTGAGGAAGTTCTAACTTTACAGATTTACCTCCCTTAGAAAAAAAAAGGGGGGGGGGAATTATGAACCCAATGAAATTATAGTAGATCGGAGTAGGGGGCGCATTCTGCATATTGCAAATTATTTTCGATGAGAGTGTTAAATGCATGCACTGAGACAGCAGTTAGAAACTAGTGTTATTGTAAGAAAACAAAGACGAGTTAAAGGGGTCAGCTTGACCCTTTAGTTAATAAGGGGAATTTTTTCAAATGTAAACATGCAAGAATCCTGCATATGCACCGACTGACTGGAAATAAATTCTTAAATAACGAGATTATAGATTACAAAAATTAACTAAACACCTGTTTTTGTTTAAAATTGAATGGACTAGTGATTACTGAGTAAGGATTAATACGCTTCAATCAAGATTGACCCCATACGGGGGAGAGGGGGGCTAGGTTTAGTTAAGTGCATTAAATGCAGGCTAAGAAATATCACATGAAAGAAGCAATTTTTATGCAAGCGATAAGACAAAAACAAGGAAAAAAGAAAAAGCTACCTACGGTTAAAGAAAAAGAAAACGTCCCCACAGGGTGTGTATTCGGTTGAAGATGCTTATTGTCGCGAGTACATGGCTATATAAAAAGGTCTCGATAGCGGTTACTAACGTGAAAGCTCCAACGGCTTCGTTGTCAGGAGCTGATGGAGACAACAACAAGAAAAAAAAAAAAAAAAAAAAAAAAAAGGTAACAACGATGTCCAAAAATCGAGACATGAGGGAAGAGAAATTATCATCCAAGAGGCTGGCCCCCGGGTAGATCGTTCGCAACGAAAGCCGAAGGAAAAATCGCTAAGTTATACACATCCACGGATTGACTTCTTCCATATAGAGATATGATGGGGCTCCAAACAGAAATAATTTTTGAAAAATAAGTAAATAAATAAATAAAAAAATAATAATTTCACGAAATTGGAAGTCTTTCCGAAGTAGTACAACTACTATCACTATAGCACAATGGCTTTGTTCAGAGGTGGAGGGATCGAGAGAAAGACAGAGAAAGTGGCGCCGGACTTTGAAATCAGCAGCAGCAGCAGCAGCAGTGGCGGCGGCTGCCAGGCCTGATCTCATTTTCAAAAGTTCTTACAACACATTCGGGACACATGAAGAGGGATCCATTCAAATTTGCAACCCCCGAGAAAAGAGGAAAAAAAAACAAAACGACAAACAAAAGAACTATGTAACATTTATGATCGTAATGTGAATTGCTACAGAGACAAAGGAAATTTAAACATTGTCAGTGCATCTAACTCAACACACGCACACACCTACTCATAGTCACAATCATCACGTGCAAACTGGAAAGTGACAGTGGCCGTGTATTAAAATATATTTTTCAAATAAATTCTATAATAGCGATCTTTATAATACTAAAATGCCGATAACTAGATCAGAATGAATGGTGAAAGTACTAACATCTGCGAGTACTAAGAAAAGAAAAAGCCATTATTGAAACAAAGAAAACGGGTTAAATACTTAATCATTGTAAAAATAATAAAGATAGAGAAACGGCTCCGAGAGTGTAAAGTTTAAAAGAATCCCGTAAAAACGGAAATGGGATATTTTGTAACAAAGATCCCCCCCCTGACCCAAAAGAAAAAAAAAAACGACTATCGCGATGGCACAGTTTTGGCGGCAACAGCTAACAAAAGAGCATATGTAAAATGAGTGAAGAAGACTCATTGAAGTGATCTTTCACGACGTAAAGATTTAATTCAGTAAAAATTATATACAAGGTCGAGGACATGGACTAGTTTTGTATTATTTTTAACATAAGAAAAAAAAAATAACTGCAGGTAAGATTAGAGAGCAGCAAGATTGGCAGGACAAAATAAAATCTATGACACTAGCAAGGCAATAATTACTAACTACTATTTAGCTCATAGTAGTCATAGTTATACCACTACTAGTAGCACCACTGCATCTTTCCAGATGATAGTGAATTAAAATAAGATGCTAGAAATCTCATCCAACCACGAAGAAAAGGGCGCGGAAACGTTAGTGAAAAGCGCTAAGTTTAAAAAAAAAAAAAAAAAAAAAAAAAAAAAAAAAGGTTGGAAGGAAACACCCCGGTCACATGACAAAGGAAAAGGCGGGGAAGGAAGCAAGAGGAGTGGGGTGGAAAGAATTACGGAAAAATAAAAACAGAAGAGGGTATAAAGAATTGTGTATAGAAATAGAAAAAAAAAGGTCAATGTTTAGCACAACATAAAATGTCAGCTAAGATGTTGGAAGCCAAACATTCACTCAGATTAGAAATTATTAACGTCGTTGTAAGGGAAAAGTTTCAAAAGGTTACTTTTTTTTTTTTTTTAGACTCTTAAAGTTTTTACCACTTATATATTTGACTATTTTTTTTTTTTTATATTGCTTAGATTGTGTGTATTTATAGAAAAATGACCGATTATTTGCCGACTAGCACTGCATTGTGGCAGCAGTTATAATGCATGTATTGTAAACAAAGAAGTCAGAATCATAGTATGACGAGCAGGGAAAGCGAAAAAAAAAAAATGTACTACATTTCGGAGTTTTAATACTAGTAAGATTGTTTTAGTAACATTAAAGTTATAAGTGGCAACCTAAATAATACGGATTATCAAAACAAGGCAGGGGAAAGATGTAATTTTTGTAGCCATTCAAGTAAACAATAAACATGTATTGTTGATTCCACCCACAACCTCTTTAGACATGTTTCGTTGTCAATACGAGATTGATTTAAATGGCAGGAAGAAATATCGAGCCAAATGTATCTTATTCACATAAGAGAGAGAGAGAGAGAGAGAGAGAGAGACAAAAAGAAAAGAAAGGGACTGATGTTGCGATAGAGTCAAGTGCAAATGAACTAACAATATTTTTTTTAAAACTAAACAGAAGTGCAAGTTGACAAGGATAAGTACAGAATTAGAAATCAACCATGGAATTAGACTTTAAGAGACGAAAGTAGAAGACAGGAGCTTCTATGTTTACAATATAGACAAACTGTAAGCGCGACGGGTAAAGGGGAAGAGGTTCAGTTTTCAAATGAGGGAAGAGTTAACGGTCACTTGGGTAAATAACGGTACGGAAGTCAGTACTTCTAACCGTGGTGTTATGTAGCTAGAGAAACTAGCTCTCAATATATATATATATATATATATATATAATTAGCATTCATAAGATCAATTTATACGGGGGGGGGCAACAAGTTTAGTGAAACTTCGTTTAAAAATACAAAAAAAAAAAAAAAAAACATGGTTTTATATTTTACTTCTCCCCCCCAGTAAAAATATTAATTAAATTAATTTTATTCATCAACAAAAACACTTAGGTTTCTTTAACTTTTTAACGAAATGTAGTTCGTGTGTGTGTGTGTGTGTATATATATAACACACACGGGCTATATCCTCAGTAGCATTATTTTTAGTACTATTGTCATTAGTTATGTTAATAAATCCGTTTCAAGACCAGTACAAAGATATTTTTTCTATATTCAGAGTATAAGTAAGCATTTTGAAGAGAAAGTTTGGTACAAGAGGAAGATGGTAGAGTTTTTTTTTTTTTTATTATTTCAGGGCCAATAAAACCTTATCCTCACTTTTCTTTTTTAAAGAAAAAAGAAAAAGGAAGTTAGGGTTAACGGTCGATTTATCGGGTTGACAGGGAAAGGGAGAAGCCAGACTCCCAAGCTGTCAGTACCATCACAAGATCTGAGGGTATGAAGTTACTAGAAAGAGGGAAGAGAGGAAAAATAAAATAAATACTAGGAAATTTACAATAGAAGGCCAATAACTCCACCGGTAAAATTACATTTTTATTAACGACAATCGTGACTCAAAGACAGTAAATAACCCAGAACAGATTGTCAACGCTTTTGAAAATCAAAATGTTGAGGGTATATTTGTTTTTAAAGCATAAAAACTTTACCTTAAATAATCCAACTTGTGAAAATGAAGCAGTGAGAATTTGGAAAAACGGAAGGAACCATTACAGTTTGTATTGAAATGGACAATTTCTTTTTATTTTTTTTAGGGACCAGCGAGCAGTTTGTTTATGCTTTGACTTAAGGAATGAACGTTACTTCAGACATACATGTCTATGAAGGGTCACAAGAGATTAGTGTGAGGACTGAGTGCTTGTGTACTATTTGAATCAGAAGATGGAAGCTTAAAACCACAAGACTAAGAGTAGTTTTGTTTTTTTCTTATACTAATCGAAAGGTTTTCGGTGGTGGGGGGCATTTATATAGGAAGACAAATTTGTTTTACGTTACATAGAGTAAGAATGTAATGGGCTAAAGTATTAGTCAATACTGGTCATATAATGAAGTGATTACTAGATTATAGACAAGGGAGTCCATAGTGTTAGCCTTCTCGAAGAAGGCCAGCAACTCCACTATGGACTGTCAGCGCGTGTATGATGGTCGTAGAGATACTAATAAAAAGACTTTTAATGAATGACAGTGTTAACGATTGATTTAATTGTGTTATCGGATAGGAGGAAAGGTAAATAGACAAAAAGAGGGATAAAATAGGGTTTGGAGAGAGAAAGCATATATATATATATATATATATATGCGTGTGTATGTAAAGAGAGAAAGCAAACATCCTTATTGCTGCGGTTTGTTAGGAGGAGCAGCAGCAGCAGCTGTGACTCTGGGAACAGCAGCAGCAGCAATAGAAACGACGACGACGACGACGGCGCAACCAGGGTTGCTTGATGACAACGGACGGGGGGAAACAGCAAGAAAATTTCAAGCCAAGTCAACCACTTACTGTCTTCCGGAGTATCTTCCGATTCCTCCTGATAGAAGTTGATGTCTGAAATAGAATCGGAGAGCATTAAAATTGGCGCAAAACTTCAAATTTGGAAGCAACAAACTCTGCTTAGAAGACGTCTCACCCGCCATGTTGTAGGAAACCACGAGGTATGCAAGCCGTGCTGCGATTGGACAGCACCGTTATTTAAATGTACGCCCATTGGTCCCATTCAAATTTCTTACGGACGCAACCGATCACTACGCCGGAAATTACCGAGCTGTTTTGCGAGCTTCGCGCTCGGTAATTTCCGTCGCTTTTCGACAACTTCCGTTTCGTTTAGACTTTTCCCCCCTTTGCTTACACTTTCACTTGTTTTTTTTTTAAATGCCAACCAGCAGAGAAAGACACTAATGTTTTTTTTTGTTTTTTTTTCACTTTGTCTAATTCAGTTCACCTGCTTAAAAGTACGTTTATATTTACATTACTTACTGAGATTAATAATAACCACTTCTTTGTATATATATATATATATATATATATATATATATATATATATAAATTCTTCTGGATTTTAAATTTCATTTAAAGATAAAAATACTTATAAAATTTTTTAGTCAGTTTTTTTTTTAATTAACAATGAATATTTTCAATGTGGATTTAAAAAACACTTTACTTTTAGCATGATTTTAAAATGTTATTTTGGACTTATGACTAATTGAAGTAAGTACTTTTTTAATTACTTTTGAATTTTAAATTAATTGTTGTAATTTAATTTTTTCCATGGTTTTTGCTAAAGAAAGTTTTGTTTTTGTTTTTTCTATTTTTTTAGAAAAATAAAAAAACTAATTTAATAATGCTATGAAATTCTTTACATCTTAAAACTTTTTTAAATTTTCAAAATTTCTTTCTGACATGTTTTTTAGTTAGACTCTATACAAAAATGTTTTGCTTCGTTTATTGATTTATATATTTTTTTCTTTTGTTTTTCAGATTTCTTAATTGGCCTAGAGGGCGGGGGAGCTCCCTCCCTCAAGAATATAAAAGGATTTCCTGTTTATCGATTAGTTTCAGATTGTGGCCGTGGCTTGTCAGGCAATGCCGTCAAACCCTAACACATTCCAAGCGGACCTGGTTCGATCCTTGGCATAATTTTTAACTTTTTTTTCCTTAAGAAAATCTCTAAGCGTTTTATTTTTATTTTTTAGTTAATTTCTTTAATTTAATAAACATTACCAACTTCATGCATATGCAACTTTGGTATTTAAATTAATAATACAGAGTCCTACCAGTACTCGACCGACCACTAGGCCTCGAAGAAATTCATTGAGTAGTAGTAAAGGAAAAAAGATCAAAAGTCCTTATCAAAATAAGCCACTGCGCGGGCCCATAAGTGAATGAAACGTGAATAAAGGATGCTGAAAAGTTCTCGGCCTGACCTACTTTCCAACATCTGAACAAAATTTATTTTATTTCTATTATTCAAATTTTGGTAGGAGTCGATAACTTTTCAATCTAGCCCCCCCCCCCCCACTGCTACTTCGTAACTCGGGCGGTGCCTTAGTCATCCGCGTGAAAGGCTTTTATCAAATTAACCACGGCAAGCATCTTCAGATTGTTCCCCAGTAAAAAGAAAAGAAAAATATTGGATTTTACAAGTAAAAGTGTGCAGAAAGATGGAGAATTCTCTGTGTTAATAATACACCCTGCTGTAGCCTTGATTGGAAATTTCGTTGATGTTTCAAACTAGAATAAGAATATGAAACAAAAATATCTACATTTTCAATGTTCACTTAACAACAAGTTATGCCTCCCCTACCCACCCCGTAGTTTTGTAATTACTTAACGCAAGTTTTTAGATCGAGAAGATTGACAAAAAAGGTTTGTTCCTAGCCTCGAAACCCTCCCTAATCGACCTTTAACGGGACACGCTTCTCTTTTTTTTTTTTTAATCTTTTTAGTTGATTTATATATATATTAAATGTTAAAAACTAAGAGGAAACTGCTGCTGACGAAGTTTAATTATACTTCGTAGTTTGAACCCGGATAGATTGTCTTAAAACAAAAAATCGACATTTTTACTATATGAGCAACGACACGCACTTGCATTGTGTAACATCCTTGATTTTTACACTGGGCGCATTTTATTGGCAATTATGTAACGACTCTTTTTGACGAAAAACAAAACCTACAACTACCGCGGGTTGATTTTTTATGAAGTATTTCACCTCGATTTTTATTTTAAATTCCTAATTTAAACATCGCAAAAAAATTAAGATATTTTCTAAAGCTTAATTTTTTTTTTTTTTTTTTGTTGGTGGAGTAAAAAATAAAGAAAGATTGATAAATTCTCAAAATCGGGGGTTGGGTGAGAAAAAAAGTCAAATAGTGTTAGGTTCCATGATTTATATAAGTTGTTCTATCATAAAGATGGAATTTCTCTGGTGTCTCAACATGTTTCTTTTTATATATTTTTTGGACGGACTCTATTTTTAAAATGTTAGCTTATTAACATACGTTCAAATATACGGTGTGTGGAGAGGGGGGGGAAGTAAAATGTAAACAAAGTTCTGTATTCCAAGAACTTATTTCCACTTTAGAAAGATCTTTATCTTAAGAATTTCAGAGCTCTTTAAGTGCTCCAGAAAAATGCTCTGCTGGTTTTATTAAAAAGAAACACAGTTGCATGTATACAAGCTTGTACGTCATTGAAAAGTTAGTGTGAATACTACGGCACGTGAATCTTTTTACCTATAGGTCCCTCCGCTGACAAGATAATAGATTTGACCATTACAATTAACGTGGAGCCCTGCACGTATGCATGCAAGTGATGACAAAAGTTTTCCTGTTTTCTTGACACGCCTTCTTTTTGGGTTACCTTGGGGACTGACTCCTTTTAAGTGTAATAGGTAAGTTGTAGCTTCAGAGTAGACGTGCCATTGAGACTCTACTTTGGTTAAATTTATGTCCAGGGGACTTTGTCCTTAAAGTTTACATGTGGCAAATAACTTAATTTTTTACACTGTTTACAAGTTGTGCATTATTTGCTACTGGAAACCTGTTGTAATGAAATGTCCCACACTCCCTATTGCCTATGTGGACTGACTATATCAGTAGCTATATATAGTGAGCACAGGATATACCTGGGGTTTGCTTTGGGAATTACCAGCCTGCCACTTGATTCCCTGTATTCTCTTTTACAATAAACCTCTCTTCTTTCATCTGCACCCGTGTTGCTGTTCCTTCACTCAAGTACCACCTTCGTCGGTTTGTAACCTTTAAGGATACAAAAAAAACCTACTTTACTATCTTTTCCAAGAAGTCTGCAATTTGCACATGTTGAAGGAAGCTGTGGAGAGTCATGACCACCTACGTCCTGACATGTCATTAAAAACAATATACAGTGGATGATGTACAGTGTGGTCTGAAATGCTTGTCACTCCTACATAATATAATTTTCTATTTCAGATGGGAGGCGCAGTGGAGTAATGGATAGCGACTCAGTTTGAGAAATCTGAGAACCAAGTTCAAATTCCAGTCGAATCCATTACATTCACTTACATGCTAATGCCCTTGGGAAAGGTATGAATCTTCTTCTCCCCCAGGAAATAGCAGAACAGACTGGGTTCTATAGCCTCGGATGGCAACTGGTCTACTGCGGGAATAATCTGCCTCATCAGTCATGTATCAAAAGTTACATGATTGCCTAAGCAGGTATCACGCATGGCACATAACTGACTGATTTCAGATGGCTGACATGAGCGCTTCACGAAATTAATGATAATGTTCATACAGACCTTGATGTGTAAAAGCATCAATGAAAGTGAATAAACTGAATCCATTAAATGTGCTTTGTATTACTTGTTCTTTTATTGTTTAGTAGGGGGTGACAATGGGTAGATTATCTAAATATATATAGAAAAATTTGGCATTCATTGACTAAACAGCATTACTGTGAGTTGAAATTTATAAATTCTCATTATTCAAGAAAATAGGTTTCTTGGGTTCAGTAACTTACTGCTATTTCTAGTTTCCTTTTTATGCTTATGTTGGAAGTAGTGTAGAAAGGCAAAATCTTAGTAATTTTTTTTTTAATATATTTATTTTTATGAATTTTATATTGGAAGAGAATAGGGCACTTGGCTTTTCAATTAATACACACTTGAATTTAAATAAATGCAATTTTAAAGTTTACAAACAAAGAAAAATAGGCTAAAGGGAAAAAAGTAAAAATAAGTAGGGGAATGAACAAAAAAGGCAAAAAAGATTTGTTAGTTATATGCCATGCATGATACACACTTAGGCGATCCTGTATCTTTCAATACATGACTGGCAAGGCAGATTTTTTTTTTCCTGCAGTAGGTTGCCATTTCTTTCTGTGGTAAACCAGTTACCATCCAAGACTACAGAAACCAGTCTTTTCTGCTATTTCCTGGGGGAGAAGAAGAGGATTCATACCTTTCCCAAGAGTATTAGCATGTAAATGGCTGAAATTCGAACTCGGCTCTCTGATTCCTCAACCACTATCTATTACTCCACCGTGCCTCCTTAGTAGTGTTGAAAGTCAAAATCTTGAAAGTAATTTTTTTTTTTTTCATGATGCATGTGTTATCCATTTTAGCTGTTTCTGCTGTTGAAAGTCCTCAAGTGATATTTATCCCAAAAGGGTAGCTTTGATTCAAAACCTTAAAAAAAGAAAGGAAAAAATCAAAATATTGATTTTTTTTTTTTTTTTTTTAAATAGCATTTGTGAAAACTGATGCAACACCATTTTTCCTCCATTTCTTGAATCCCCATTTTTTTTATATTTTTTTTTTTTAAATTGTAATTGCAAATATAAAATCACATATTGTCTAACTCCCAGACTTTTTCTTGTCTTTAAAAGGTAGGAGAATATAAAATTGAAAGGACATGCCTGGTCCATAGAGGTTGTAATTTAAGGACACCACCTTCCTATTGTGCTGAAAGAGAAGAACCATAGGTTGCTCTGACACCTTTGTCACACAGATTATAAACACTGGCCATTTTTTGTCAATATCCATACATGAAGGCTTTATTATAGTTCTATTCATTATTATTACTTAT